GCCCTAGTCTGTGCCTGTAAGTCCCTCACCAGTACTGAGCGAGGTAGAGCTTGGAGGAGTGGATTGTAGGGGAAAGGACTAAGCAAAGGATAAGTGAGAAGAAAATGAGAACCAGACATAGAATTGTCTGGAGATAAAAATGGTAATGCCTTGGGACTTTCCTGGTGGTCCAGTGGTTAAGACTCTGCGCTTCCACTGCAGGGGGTACAGGTTCCATCCTTGGTTGGGGAATTAAGATCCCGCAAGCCGCGTAGCCAAAAAAAAAGGTAGTGCCTTACATTGCTAAGGCATTTTACAGTTTACAAAGCATACTTTGGTCTTGACTATATTGTTAGTTTCCTGTTACAGATAAAGAAATCGAAGCCACACGTTACTCAGCAAGTGGTAGAGAAAAGTCTAGATTCCCAAGTCTAGTGTTCATTTTATTGCAGACATTCTAGGAACAATAGGAGAATGGGTAAAACAAACTCAGATAAATTCATACAATGGAATATCACACTGCAATAAAAAGGAACAAACATGGGTGAAAACCAGTAACATTATGCTGAGTGGAAAAAGCTTTACATTCATATACCCAAAAAAACTTTATGTAAAGATATAGAATAGATTAAACTAATCAGTGAGATGAAGTCAGTGGTAACAAATATAGTGATGTCTTCAAGTTATTTTGAGATGCATCAAAAATATAAAATGGGGGCTTCCCTGGTGGAGCAGTGGTTGAGAATCCACCTGCCAATGCAGGGGACGTGGGTTCGACCCCTGGTCTGGGAAGATCCCACATGCTGCAGAGCAGCTAAGCCCGTGCACCACAACTACTGAGCCTGTGCTCTAGAGCCTGTGAGCCACAACTACTAAGCCCACCTGCCACAACTAGTGAAGCCCCCGTGCCTAGAACCTGTGCTCTGCAACAGGAGAAGCCACTGCAATGAGAAGCTCGTGCACCGCAATGAAAAGTAGCCCCTGCTCACCACAACTAGAGAAAGCCCGCGCGCAGCAATGAAGACCCAACACAGCCAAAAATAAATAAATAAAATAAATTTATATTAAAAAAATAAATAAAATAAAATGGATAGAGGGATGGATAACATAAGCAAGTGTTACAAAATGTTGTAGAATCTAGGTGGTCAGTATGTGGGTGTTCACTGTGCAAGTCTTTAAGTGTTCATAATAAAATGTTAGAAAAAATAAATTGTACCTTACTTTTAGTGGTTTTGAAAATATGTGTGAGCAAAAATAAAAATTTTTTCCCAAGAAGAACACAGCAGGAGGCAGCAGGAGCTGGTAAAAGACTGAATAATATGTGAAATACTGTCTTTGGAACTCGTTAAAAATATCTTTCCATATTGTCTGTGAATGTAGCCCCACTTAAAAGCCAAGACTTATCAAACCAGAAGAGTGGGGTTGAGTGGGAAGTGGGATGGAGGACCTTTCTGGAGTGATGTGGTTAGCATTACACAAGTAAAGCAGTTTACCAAATCTCAATGAATTGTACACTAAATGTCTGCATTTCATCACATAAAAATTTTACCTTAAAAGTAAAAAAAAAAAACGGAAGTAAATATTGAATTCCAGTTAATTATACACATGCTTAACTGTTTTGGGGTTAAGTATACTGATCTCTAAAACTTATTTTGAAATGAATCAAAAATATAAAATGAGTTGAACATAGGTGATAGGTATGTGATATAAAACAAATTATAGAGTGTTAATTGTGAAGTCCAGGTTATCAGTATATGGGAATTCACTATATAGTTTTTATAACTTGAAGGGGAAGAAGACAAGGAACTAAGTAAGAGTCCAGGGTATTGAAGCAATCATCTATATAAATATTGAATTGATTAAGAGTTTTTACAGGAGTAAGTAGCAGTGAACACACCTAGGGCCCAGATCTTGGTCTCTAATACCACTTCCCACTAAAAGAAACCAGAACTTTTTGGAAACATGGCAGATGCCAGATAAAAGTATTGTTAACAATGTAAATTTATGAAGTCGATGACTGAACTGAGGTTTCGTAAAAGAGTAGTGCTATGCTTAGGAAATATCCACTGAAATGGGACAAAGGTCCATAATGTATGTATGATTCAGAAAAAAATATATGCATATACATGTGTGTGTGTGTGTGAAAGAGAAGGAAAGACTATGAATAATAAAGCAAATGAGATAAAATGTTAGCAATAGGTAGATCTGAGTAAAGCATAAATGGGTGTTCCTTGCACTATTTTTATTTTTGTAACATTTTGTAAGTTTGAAATTATTTTCCCCAAAAAGTTTATGACAGGAGTGGTGCTGGAGAGAAACAGGGTGATCCACTTAGCTGAGGTGTTGGACTGATTCTATTCTGTGCTGTCAGGCCAAGATAAGCAGCATATTATTTTTGTTTCCAATCTTCTAGTGTTATATTTTCACTTTGATGTTTAAATTTTGTTCTTTGGTTTTGGCACAGTGATATTTCATTTTTAGTTCTTTTATATTATCATTGTTTTGCTCCTGTAACTATAGTATTTTCTTCATTGAACTTTGTAGATTTATTTAACTGAGCCATCTAATCTTAACCTTAGTTTTCACTAGGCTCTCGAGGTATTCATTGATAACCCTTGTAGTGTGGGAATTTTTATTTTTATACTTTTTAAAAACCAGCTTTATTAAAATATAATTCACCCATTTCAAGTGTAGAAATCATTGTTTTTTAGTATATTCACAATCAACTTTAGAACATTTCATCACCCCAAAAAGAAACCTCCTACCCATTAGCAATCACTCCCCATTTACCCCTCTTCCAATTACTAATCTACTTTTTGTCTCTGTGGACTTGCTTATTCTGGATATTTCATGTAAATATAATCATTTAATATGTGGCCTTTTGTAAGTGGCTTCTTTTTACTTTCAAGGTACTTCCATGTTGTAGCATGTATCAGAACTTCATTCCTTTCTTTTTGCTGAGGAACATTGCATTGTATGGATATACTACATCTTATTTTTATTTATCCATCCATCAGTTGGTTGACATTTGGGTTGTTTCAATTTTGAGGCTGTTATGCTATGGAATAATGCTTCTGTGAATAGTTGTATACATGTTTTTATTTCTTTTGTGTATACATCTAAGAGTCGAATTGCTGGGTGTATTTTCACTCTGTTTACCTTTGAGGAACTGCCAGGCTGTTTTCCAGAGTGTCTACTCCATTTTAAAATCCCACCAGCAATGCACAAGAGTTCCAGTTACTCTACATCATGGCCAACATTTGTTATTATCTGTCTTTTTTCTTATAGCTGTCTTTTTTCTTACACCTATCCTAATAGGTGTAAGATGGGCCTTTCTATACTTTTAAACCCTAAAACTATGATCAATTATTATCAATAAAATAATCTCCATCCTTTTGTAGCAGTGAGCCTGTCTCTTTATTAAATATGGAATACATAAAATAAGTGGAAATAAGATAGCATCAGAAAGGTTCTTTTCCCATTTCTTTGTTATCACTTCAAAATTATTTGGAGAGAATCTCAAGAGAAGAGAGATTGGATTTTTAAAAATTGTACAGCTAGAACTCATAGTTTTTAAATGCCTATTATAAACAGGTACATATTTAGCATCTAACCCCTGAGTCTACGATAACCATTGATGCCACTGACCATTGCCACTACAGTCTCCAAAGTGGCTTCAGGAGCTTTTCCCCACCCTCACCATAGCTCGGAGCCCATCATCTGCTGTCTCCTGGGAGCTCAGAGCTTCTATTAGTATTAGTTTACCACATTATAGATTAAATTGGGCTATATGGGCTCATCTGAGGTCTAACCATTGATTTTTAACATAGTTTCTACAGGAAAAATACGGCTTTTTTTTTTTCAGCCTACTAACTTATAAGTGACCACTTAGGACACAACCTGACTGTAATTTGGTAACTATCTGTCCATGAGGAAAGGCAAAATAAGTTGGAGTTATTTAACCTAATGTCAGAAAACTGCATGTTGACTTAAAGCCATCATCATGGATTATAACTTCAATGAAGGATTATTCTCTTTATTTTAAATGCAGTTTTTTATGTTTTTAAATTGTATTTTGTTGCCGTAAGTAGGATAAAGTGGGAATTTAATTTTGAAAATTTATGTGTATCAAAGGAGAGTAGAAAGAAAAACAGTATTTCTTTCTCTCATATTTTATTTTTATCACTATAACAAAGGGAAGATGCTCTTATTTTCACCTCTTCCGTAAAAGGCCAATTTTTCATGTTTGAGATGTGCATCCATATGTATAGTTACTTGCCTCATGTTTTATTTTCCTGATCAAGTTTAATTGACCTTTAAATAATAATTGTTATAGAGGATTGGATTAAAACCTGATTAATATGAGAATCGTTTGTAGGTGGATTTTTTTCTTAAATGGAACTATAATAGTTTTAGATTAATTCAGTAAAAATTCCATGTCCTTTTCCCTAAAATGCATTAGTACCACTCCTACTGATCATCCATACACGGTATAATCCTAAGCAACTTCCTTTTTAATCTACGAAAAAATGAGTGTAATACCCTCTTTTTACCACTCATTTCATTAGGCTATTATGATGGCTGTCAAATGTACATAGGATGTAGGTTTACTTTTATTCCTTCCTCCCTCCCTTCCTTCTTTTTTCCTTCCTTCTCTGCTTTCTTTTTTTGGATGGCTTATTTCTCAGTTTTTTAATAGAAAAATTGTTGGCAGAAGGTATTCCCTAGAAATACTATGCTGATGTATCAAAATAACAGCACATCCTGGGCTTTTAGGTTGCACTTACCTCAGGAGTCCACCAGCTATGAAGTACTGATGAAGGATGTTCTTGCTATGCAAGACTAATTAGGCTTCCAGGTCCATGGTGTTAAATCTACAGAGGTACCTGGCTATGCCTAAAGTCCAAAGCTTGACCTGAATATTTCCAATTAACATTTTCTTTTTCAGGGGACCATGAACTTCCCCCCAGTAAATATGAACTATCATTTTGGTAATTTCTTTTTGTGTTGAATTCTTACAGCTCTCCACCCAAGGAGATGCAAGTCAGGTGATTGGACCTCTTACCGAAGGGCAGAGAAGAAATGTGGCAGTAGTGAATTCACTATATAAGTTGCACCAATCGGTAACAAAGGTAACCTTTATTTTAATTAAGTTCTTTTGACTTAATTTCAAGTTCTTCTTTCTTCTTGCCTTAAATTTAGACAATAATGAGTTATTATTTAATTTTTTGCAGAAGAATACAATGAAAATGTGATTGTAAACCTGGCCTCTGTTGTTTGTATGACTTTTTGTCTGTACAGCTAGTTTAAAACACATGAACTGTAGATCCTCAAGATTGCTTGGTATAGTTAAGTTTATTGAACAGATGATTTAAAGGTAAATTACTTGTGTTTTATACCCATTAAACCACATAATTTGGTATCATATGGGTGGTAGTAAATTATAGCAAATCTAGTAATAGTAAGAACTCGTAAGCCCTCTAACATGTCAGAAAGGTTCTACCTTTGTACAAAAAAGTGGGGGAGGAGATGCATTAAAAACAGTGAACTCGTATGTTATAATCATTGAAGACTATTTATGAGTAAAAAATAGTTTTTTTGCTATTGCTCTAATACTTGTTTAAAAAGTGACTGAATTTTAACTTGTTTGCCTTTGTATATTATGTCTAAGATGAACTGTAAACATAATTATTAGGAAAGCAACACTTTCAACCCCTTCTTTGATTCTTGAGTTGCTTGTATTTACTCTCTATTAATGATTTTCAAAATATTTGGTAAGTAGAGAGATAGTTAGAAGACCTGAAAAAGCCAAAGGTTAGATGATGTTTTTAAAACCTTGACCTCTAATATGAGCTTTTATATGCTAGATTGTATTTTAGAATAATTATAAGTGACAGTTTTTCATTTACTTAAATTTTTTAACAAGTCCTTTTATCAATTAGGGGTTTCCAAAATTTGTATTTTGCACACTAAACAAAATATATTTAAAGGGTTATTAACAGGTAAATCTCAGAAAAGTAAATAACAAAAGTAAATGAAAAGAATATATGATATAGTTTCCATTTCCTTTAATTATTACTCTAAAGAACCAAAAGCAATGCAAAGTTGTATTTATTTAGCCTGATTTAAATGTCTTTATTGATCATTTCAGAATTTTCATAATGTTGGTATTGATTTGTAAAAAGGGAAACATTTGACATTTACTTGTTAAACATTATAGTCAGCCTACAAAGGGTGATTTTTTTTAAGAAATAAGTAAATATGGCTTTAAACTGACTTTTTCAAGTTAAAACTTTATAATTAAGGAAAGCTAGCTATTAGAATTCTTAATGTTTCAGTTATTTGAAGTAGATATTTGCCTTATACAGGAAAACATTTTTAAACCTATCCTAACTACTAAACACTAATGGATTTTTAAAACATGTATGAGATACTACTCTAAAGTAATGATAATATTTTATATGTGGCTTGTGGAAACAGTTTTATCATGTGATGATCAAAATTAGTATTTATAAAAATAAATAACTTAAGCAAAACTATAACTGGATTTGTTCTAGGTGGTTTCCAGTCAGAGCTCATTCCCACCAGCAGCTGAGCAAACTATAATTTCAGCCCTAAAGGTAAAAGAATGTAATTTAATCTTTGACTCTATAGATTGGAATAGGTTTTAGAATTATTTGTTTGGATGAGTAGGAGATGTCACATTTTAAAAATAATTCAGAATCTTCTCCATATGCCAAAGTAGCATGTTGATGATTATCCTAAAGGGAGAGGCTACATGTGTGTTTATATTTTTCTAGAATTTAAAAATAGACCCTGTTGGTGTCTACAGACTGTGTTGCATTTATGATAATTGTATCATAAGCAAGAGAAGCAAGAGAGTTATAAGTATGCACTGTGTCTCAGGGCAGTGCAGCCCAGTATTATCCCAGTAAAGCAGTGGTTCTCCACCAGGGCGATTTTTGTCACCTATGGGACATTTAACAATATCTGGAAACATTTATGATTGTCATGACTTGGAGTGGGGTGCTCCTGGCATCTAGCGCCAGGAATCCTGTCAAGCATCCTGCAGTGTACAAGCCAGCTCCCCACAGCACAGAATTATCAGGCCCAAAAATGTCATTTATGCCAAGGCCTGGAAACTCTGCTAAGGCCACATAGTAAAATAAAGACTCTGGAGCTCAACTGCCTGTGTATGAATCCCATCTCAACTATTTAACTAGCTGTATGACCTCAGACAAGTTAATAAGTTTTCTCTTGCCTTAGTTTCTGCATCTATTGATATAAAATGGCACAGTATACCTACACAAAGGTAGTAAATGTCAACTGTTAGATTGAATTTAGATCACTTGGGTAGAGTTAAGAGAGAGAAAGAGGGAAGGAGAAAGAGAGATGGTCTACCACCAGTAAACTCCAAGGAGAAATATTCAGAGAGTAAAGAGGATACAAAGAAAGAACAATCATTGAGGAAGAAAATTGGGAGAGGACAGTGTCACAAGTCCTGAAGGAGAAGGGAAATTCCGAGGTCAAGTGCTGTCCATGGGTGACATGGATGGGGATTTAAGGCTGCAAAACTTAAGGACACTAAATTCATATATGAGGTAGGAGGAGACAGTCTGTTTTCCTCCAACATAGAAAAAGTACGCTTGGATGTTTTCTCTGAATCCTTTTCTTTTTCCCAATGTACTTATCTCATTATGATGAAGTAGTATTAGAGCTGCCATAATAAAAATAATTGTTTTTAGTAAGAGTTGTCCAGTTTATTGATAATCAAAAAATACTGTAAAATCGGGCCAATAACACAAACCAAAAGGTTTGTTTTATTCTTGCTTCCAGGCAGGGAATACATGTAGTCTTTTTTTTTTCAATATGTAGTTACTCATTTGTCTTTATCCTCTGGCCATAGCTGTCAAACATTTTTTGATCACTACCCAAGATAAGTAACATTTTACATTGTACCCTGTACATACTATATAATCATTTATAAATATATACACATATATAATTGTATATATATAGAATATGCACTTATACACGTGGTTTGAGAAAGTCCATTCTGTAGGTTAAGAGAGAGTTGCCTACACTTTGCCTGATGATGAAAGTCTCCTGGACAAGTCAAAAATAGTTCTTCAGACACTGTAATTCAGTGTTGGGTAGACTTTCTGTATCTGTATTTTTAACTTACAATAAAGGTTATTCTTCGTATTAGTCACTTTAGGCTGGGGGTTGAGGCCAGTGCAGGGGAAATTGCCCTCATCTTGAGCTGTGGCCTTCACTCTGAGGTTTGCTCACCAGGACTGGTGTCTGATGTTGCTGGGCACCACAGTTTGCTGAGGCTTCGCCAGTTTTGCCTTTGAGAACTGGGTAAGAGACGACTACCGGTCTGTTCACGGCCCTCCTCCTGCAGTGACCCTGTCAATTAGAGACTGAATTTCTTATGTTAACAGACCTCAGTGAAACAGTTTTGGCCTTGCTTTTTAATTAAATTTCATTAAAAATCTTTATGGCATAATAAGTGAAGAACAAACAGAATCCTCTGACTCAAAGAAAAAAAAGAGAATCTTGAATTTTCATAAAATTGTAGGAAACTTACTGCATCACTTTGAATTAGGATGTTACAATGCATAAGTGCAACCCAAGAACCAAAAATCTGTATGCTTTTATTATTTGATGGAAAAAATGTTAAACATACTTTTTTACTTACTAAAAAATATAGGTAGACACATAATAGTCTCCTCTACCTTGTTGAGATTTTATCCAAACTTAAATGTTACTTTAGGTTCAAAGTTCATCATCTCATATTACAAGCATTATCTCCTATGTCATGGATGACATAATTAATATTAATGATTTTACATTTAGAGTCATTTCATTATAACCACCTCAGCTATAAGTAGCATTTAAACACCTTAGCCCAATAATTCTGATCCATTTGTTACTGAGATCATCTTGTGCAGATAGTATATTACAAAGTTTATATATGACAGTTCTCCCTTATTGTGTGGGTTTGATGTTCTATATACGGGAATATTCTGCATTGTTGAGGCTTCAGTATTTTTGTAATCTTTGCTATTTTAGGCAAGCACTTCCCTGCTTTGTAAAGAGCTTATGAAATATAATCTAGTATCCTTTCTCAGTTTCCTGTGGTAGTTATTAATCCTCTACCCATCCTTTACATGAAGGCATTCCCCACAATGCTCTCTTCTCTGTTTTATATTTTCCATTAAGTGGGAAACCTCACCCAGCTGTAAAGTTCTCTGTGTACACCATCATATCATAATACAGATAGAGGCAGTTTTATTTCTTCCTTTCTCGTCTTGATGCCTGTTTTCCATGCCTTGTTTCACCTGCTAGGACCTCCACTACTATGTTGCCTAGAGCAGGTGAGAGTGGACTTGTCTACTTGTTCCTGACCTGGGGGAAAGCACTCAGTGTTTATTTTACTACTTAAAGGAGGCTATTTTAAACAAGTTCTTTTCTATTCCTGGTTTACTGAGACTTTTTAAAATTGTAAATGGTGGTGTTTCATCAAATAACTTTTTCTGTATAAAATGATCATACAGTTTTACCTCTTTATTCTGTTAATAAAATACAGGAATTTATTTTCAAATATCAAACCAACCTTGATCATGATGTATTAGCCTTTTTATGTATTCTTGGATTTGATTTACTTAATTTTTGTTAAAGTGGTCATAAGGATATTGGTATATAGTTTTCTCTTTTGTAATTCTTTGTCTGGTTTTGGAAATGTGTCCTCCTTTTCCATGTTCTGAAAGAATCTGTGTAGAATTTGTATTGTTTTCTCCTTAAATGCTTAGTAGAATTCACCAGTGAAGCCATCTGGGCCTGTAGTTTTTTTGTAGGATGTTTATAACTACAAATTTAATTTGTTTAATAGATGCAGGACTATTCAGGTTATCTTTTTTCTGGAGTGAGCTTTGATACTTTGTGACTTAAGGTACTTGTCTATTCATCTAAGTTATCTAATTTGTCAGAATAATGTACATAATATTCTTTAACTTTCCATTTAATGTCTATAGGACCTATAGTGATAACCTCTTCATTTTTTATACTGATGATTTGTGTTCTCTTTTTTTTTTCTTTATCAGTCTAGCTGTGGGTTTATCAATTTCATTGCTCTTTTCAGAGAACCAACTTTTGGCTTTATTAATTTTCTCTGCTGTTTGTCTTTCTATTTCACTGATTTCTGCTTTTGTCTTTTTTTTTTTTTTTACTTATTTTGGATTTTCTTTGCCTTTTTTTGTTTGTTTTTTTGAGACCCTATACCATTGATTTTTAGACCCCGCCCCCCCCAAAAATTTAAAGTTGTAAATTTTCCTCCAATTTTCTTATGTTGCACTTTTATCTTCATTCAGTTTGAAATATTTTCTATTTCCTTTGTGATTTCTTCTTTGATTCATGGTTTTTTCTTTTAATTTCTAATTTTTTGTGGTATTTCTAAATACCTTATTGTTTTCTTTTTTTTTTTGCGATACGCGGGCCTCTCACTGTTGTGGCCTCTCCTGTTGGGGAGCACAGGCTCCGGACACGCAGGCTCAGCGACCATGGCTCATGGGCCCAGCCGCTCCGCGGCATGTGGGATCTTCCCGGACCAGGGCACAAACCTGTGTCCCTTGCATCGGCAAGTGGACTCTCAACCACTGTGCCACCAGGGAAGCCCTGTTTTCTTTTTTTTAATCACTCTTTTATTGAAGTATAGTTGATTTACAGTGTTGTGATATTAATTTCTAATTTAATTCTCTTACCATCAGAAAACATATTCTGTATGATTTCAGTCCTTTTAAATGTATTGAGTATTATGGTCTAGCATGTGGTCTGTCTTGATGAATGAACCATGTGTACTTGACAAAAACATATAATCTTCAGTTGTTTAGTATCATTCTGTAAATATCAGTTAAGGTGTAGTGATGTGTTCAGATTTTATATGCCTCTACTGGTATTTTATGTAGTTCTATCAATTGCTGAAAGATGGGAGTTAGAATTTTCTATGATTGTGAACTTGTTTATATCTCCTTTTCATTCTGTTGATTCTTGACTCCTCCGTTTTGAAGCTCTATTACTAGTTGCGTTGAAGCTCTGTTATATAAGTATTTATCATTTTTATGCCTTCTGTTGAACACCCTTTGTCATTATGACATATCCTTCTTTAGCTTTAATACTTATTGTCATGCATTGTTTTATCTGATATTAATTTAACTACTCTATCTTCTGTTCATTTACTTTCAACTCCTGTGTCTTTATTTTTTTCAATACGCCTCTTGAAGACAGTATACAGTGGGTCTTGCCTCTTTTCTCTTCTGATAATCCCTGCCTTTTAATTGGAGTGTTTAATCCATTAACATAGTATAATTATCAATAAGGTTTTATTTAGGTATATAGTTTTATTATTTGTTTTTTGTTTGTCTCCTCTGTTTTAGTTCCTCTTTTCCACCTTTTCTGCCACCTTTTGGATTATTTGATTATTAGTTATTTTTTAAAATTTCATTTTAATTTATTTCTTAGATTTTTACCTATACCTCTTCTTCATTTTCTTTTTAGTTGCTCTTCTATGGATACATGCATCCTTAACTTTCCACAGTCTTTTAGAGTTAATATTGTACTGTATCACATAAAATATAGAAACTTTGCATTTACTGAAGTACATTTACATCTCACTGCATGTAGTATAATTTTTTTAGCTTAACATTTCCATTTTGGTTCTTCTTTACGCTTTCAGTCACTCTGCTGAGATTTCCTATTACTTTATTTATTACGGGCATTTTTTTCTCTACCTCACTGAGGTTCTTGCCTGATAATTGTAGAGTCTGGATCATTTCACAGTTGGCAGCTATTGATTGTCTTTTCCCTTTAGAATTGACAACATCTCCTAGCTTTTTGTGTGTAGTCATTTTAATATATCCTAGACAATGTGAACGTTGTGTTGTATAGACTCAGTATTTTTATATATTGCTCCTAAAAGTGTTGACCATTGCTTTAGCAGTTAATTAGCTTGTTTAGACTCAAATTGTGCATTGTCAAACCTGCAGTTGGCCGTGTCTCAGATCTCAGTATAGTTCTTTAAGCCTTAGTTGCAAGCCATTTGTAGTTTGCCTTGTACACGCATGGTCAAGTCAGCTGAAGACTAGTGCTGAGTTCACACATAGAAAAATAGGCTTTCTTCTTCTCTGGCTCTCTCCTTTCTGAGGTTCCCCTCTCGCTCTCCAGCAGCCCTGGTTGAACCAGGCCTCCTTCCCCTTGTTCCTTTGACCTGAAAGACTGTAGGTTTGGTTTGGTTTGGTTTGGTTTGGTTTTTCTCTCAGAGTTTTAGCCACCCAGCCTTGCCACTACCATGACTATAGTCACTCTCAGAGCAGAATCACAAAAAAGGGAAAACTCAGTCTCTTCTGCTTGCTGTATATTTACACAGCCCTCTAAAACTAATTGCATTTTTCCATCTCCAGAAGCCTCCAGTAGGTTTTTTTGTTTTGTTTTTGGTATTTTTCCATGATTATTTGTAGGAGGATCTGTAGTTAGGTACTCACTCCTTCATACTAGTGTAGAAGACTTGCCCTTCCTTCTTGAAATCTCCTATTTATTTTCACCGTATTCCAGGATCTCTTCTTAACTTCTCTGCCCAGTATATACACATTGATATAACCAAAAGCTCATTGGAGTCAAATGCACCTAGAAAATCCCAGCTCTTCCACTGGATGGCTTTGGACACCTCCTTAACTTGACTTTAGTTTCCCTATCTACAAATTACTTTAGGTTCCACATCTGTAAGTTAGAGATTTTTGTAATTCTTAGAGGAAGGAATAATTGAGTTTTCAGTGGGATGATTACTTGCGAAGCCCATAGCACAGTATCCAGCACGTGACCTATACTAAATACATGCTATTACCCTTCTTAATCCGTCAAAGGTTCCTCTTCTGGATGACCTTAAAATGGCATTTGGCCTTATTCTACAAATCATCCTCTGGGATCTCATTGACTCTTTTGGCTTCATCTCCCCTCTTAAAAGCTAAAGACAACCATATCTAGTCAAAACTTGCCAGAAACTACAACTGTAAAGATCTCAGCACCTACTAGATAGCCCATGTGGATTTCCCTGTAAGTCCTTCAAACTCGTGTCCAAAACTGAACTCATTATTTTCTCCCTCCGTCCCTAAATCAGCCAGCTGCGTCTGCATTTACGCATTCAGTTGATAATGCCACCAAGTCATTAAAGAAAAAAAAATCTGAGTGTACCCTTCAGTCTTTACATTCCATATTTCTCACATCTGATTCCCAAGTCCTCTGTTTCCTTTCCCGGTGTCTCCACCCTGTCTCCTCATCTCTGTTCCTGCTGCCTCTGATTTGGTTCAGGCACTCACCACTTTGCATCTATACTCCTACTGTATCCTCCCGACTTTAGTCTAATTTATCTACTCTGCTGTCCAGCATGATTTTTCCCCAATTCAAAGCTTTAACCACGTTTTTCTTTTCATTGCTTAAAACTCATTGTTGGTTTCCTAGTCCCTTCAGGATATATTCCCATCTCCTTAGCAGCCTACGCAGAGTACATCTGCTCTCTGTCTCTCTTCCACATAGGCAGCCACCTCATACCCTGTGTTGAACACCTGCAGTTCCCCAAATGTGTCAACTTCCCTAGGCTCCTGTGCCTTTGGCATATGGCCCCCACCAGCCTCCCACCCTCCCCCAACACACACACTTGGTTCTTAACCCATTTTGATCTTTGAAATTCAGTTCACACAACACCTTTTGTTTTTTAAATCCTTTCAATATAAGTTGGGTGTCTCTCCCATCTTCCCATAGCACTCTGTAGAGCACTGATATCACTACAACTTGTTACCTTTTGTCACTAGATTGTGAGCTCCCTGAGGGCAAACTGTAAGTGCACACACACACACACACACATACACACTCTTTCTCTCTTTTTTTTTTGTTTGTTTGTTTTTGTTTGTCTTCATCCTTTATTTCAGTAAGGAGAGCTAAGGGATTGAGGGGAGAGGGCTTAGAGAGAAAATGCGGAGCGCATGTCTCTCTCAATCCTGTATACATGTTTATTTTTATCGGAGATTAAGGGCTGGAGATGATGTTTAGGAATTTCATGAATAAGGGTCCTATTTAACCTTTTCTCACTGATTTCAGTCATTTGTATGAGCCAGAGTCATCCATCTTCATTGTATGTAATCATGACTGAAGCACATATAATATACTTAAAATTTAGATTTTGAATGTTTACTGAGGCCCAGTCATATTTTCACACTAAAAACTTATAACTAAGGCCTAGGGTCTTATATAACCTAATTGATAATTATACCTCACAGGAGAACAGTTTCTGAACCTTAGCACTATTGATGTTTTAGGCTTGGTAGTTCTCTGTCGTGGGGGACTGTCTTGTGCACTGCGGGGTGTTTAGCAGCGTCTCTGTGCTCTGTCCACTAGATGCTAGTAGCAAACCCTTACTCCACCCCGGTCGTGACAATCAGAAGTGTCTTGAAACATTGCCAGATGTCCTCTGGGGAGCAAAATTGCCCCCAGTTGAGACTCACTGCTGTAGAACTCTAAATAGAAATCTAATCCATGAAAAGGCTAACTGTTCTGCCCTCTAAGAATCACTGATATATTTATTATATTCAGTCTGGTCAAAAGCATATGATGTTCCAATTTTGAAGAATTACTTTTGGTCTTGCCTCAGTCTTTTCAGAAACTTTAAAAAATGTGTTCTGCAAGAGGGAAGGGATATGGGGATATATGTGTACGTATAGCTGATTCACTTTGTTATACAGCAGAAACTAACACAACGTTGTAAAGCAGCTATACTCCAATAAAGATGTTACAAAAATAATATAAAGAATAAATGAGTGGAAATTAGAAAAAAAGAAGTGTGTTCATGTGATCTTTGCTGCCTAAGTGGCACTACCCGTCTCTTCTTCTTTCTCCAGGGGTTCATTTGAGCGTTCAACTTTTTGAAAATAAGAGAAAAGTGGTGGAGTTGAAAGTTTTCAGTGCCATGTTCCACATATTTTAAGCTTTAAACATCATTACTGACAGCAGTTAGGAGAAGAGCAGACTTCTGTTGGGTATTATAGTTAAACTGCATATAGTTTGAATTTGATATAACGTGAAAACTTTTAGTCAAAATGCTTCTCATATTTCAGATTCTGTGTTTGATCTATTTAAAGTTTGCCTCTCCTTAATTTAATCTTCTTTTCAGGTGGTCCATGTTCTTATGGGAAATGCTGTGCAGCCCTTGCTGACTTCCGTGGGAGATGCTATAGAGGCCATCATCATCACTATGCATCAAGAAGATTTTTCTGGGTAATGACTTCCAACCAAAGTTTTCACTAAGCTTCAGTACATTTGTTTTTCATTCCCACCTCCACCTCTACTCCCTAAGTCTCTACCAATCTAGAACCTTGTTCCTCTTGTGATGGGATTGGCCTCCATCCTTATCCTACTTTATTCATTGAGCACCATTAGCAGATTAAATTTTTTCAGTTCTTCTTGTCATCATTTCTCTCCTGTCATTGAAACATGGAACCATTAATATCTGCGGGACTCAGCTTAGCACTTCAGGACATTTGGTACTATCTCCTCTTTGCAATTATATCTTTTTCCTTACTTCTCACAAATAGGCTGTACTTGAGCCTCTGGTATTGGCATGGTATTCCTTGTATAAAACGTCCTGCCTCTGTCACTCTGCTAGTCCGATTCCCACTCTGGTTTTGAGGGCAAGGTCCTGCCCAACCCCCTGCAAAGATGATTTTCCTTGTCAGAGTCTTGTGGCAGTCTAATCTGGTCATGTCACTCCTAGCCATAAGCAATTTGGTATTATTCCACAGCTCTTTCATATGTATACTGCTTATCCATATCATGTGTGTCTTGAGAATAAGAATCATAGTTCCTCGCTTACTGTTTGCTGAAGTCTTTTTAAGTAAAATGGTTTTGACTTAGTGTATTAGAGAACTGTGGAGAATTTGAAATAGTTATGTGCACATGCTTAGTGTGATTTCTAAAAAAACCTTAACCATACTCTAGAGCTAAATATTCATATATTAGTGTAGATAGGTTTTTTATTCCTAGTTCATAGTTAGTTACTATTTTTTAACTGCCCTGTTTCTTTATGTTCATGTTGTTTAATAGTGTATCTACTTTATTAAATTTCTAGCCACTAGTCTAGCTGTTCGTAGAAAAATTATGTGATTATTACACTGTATTTTAATTTTTCAAATCATTTATTATTTCATTTACAAAGTATCTTTTGAAAGGTGAAAAGGTCAGTCTCTATTTTTAATAATGGTATGAAGCACAGGAGGGCAAAGTGGATTCTACACAAAAATGCTGTAGTATTTGGAGACAGGAATATAAAACTGCTGATTACCAGTATTTGGGAGGAAATGAATTTTGTTCAGAAATGATCTGAAATGTCCCGGTTAGACCAATCATCAATGCCTCTGAAAAGGAAGCAAAACTGGAGTAATTTTTGAAGGCTTGTTCTAATAAGAGTGGTCAGGTGCTTACTTGAGTAACTGTATTGATGAGCCACAGCTGGTGCCTGCAGATAACACATTAGACATTAAAAGTTGGTTTCCCAAGTAGATATGTTTTTATTAGTTTGCTTAAATACTAGTGAGCCAGATTGGTTCTTTAACTGATAGGTTGCCACAGGTATGCAGCATTATTTTAAGATGTATAACATTGTCCTCAATTTTTTTCCCCAAATGGCCATTAATGGCTCCATTTCAGCTCACTCTCTCTGTGCAGCAGACATTTGAGGTTCCACTGAAAGTTATTTTCCATACATGGCCGTACAGGAGTGTGGAGCATTCATGGCAGGAATTTTCCCACTTTCTAGAACCTTGTTATTAGTAATTCTGTCATATCATTTCATATATGTATGGCTTATATGAAATATAAGATGACATTGGATGAAACTATTCAGCAAGTGGAATCACTTTTATAGTAGGGCCATCTTCCGGGATCACACTTGGAAAAATAATAATGAATACCTGCCCCTTCAAGCCCTTCACACCTTCTCACGGTAAAAGGAATAAATCAGGTTTACCTTCTCGGCCAACCTTATTTGTAGTATGATTACAGAATCCCCTGCTAATTAAAAAGTAATCCTCAACACAGTTTCCTGGTATTTTAAATGTATTTAGTGGGACCTGTGTGTTTCTTTCCAAATTAGATAAAGCTTAAATTGTAAATGTCTGACATAGTACATTGATTGAAATTCTGTTATTTAATGTAAAATGACTCGTGTCTTGATATCAGCTTTGAATGGGAGAGGGAAGTCAGTAACAGTAGGAGGACCCTAGATCCTTGAAGTGGTGGATGAGCATCTCTGAGGAGGGGAGAACACACACTGACCCCAGAACAACTGGTGCCGCTTCTCAGGCGTGTGTTTGTTCAGTCTTTCTGCCTTCTGCCTCTGTATGCGGGCTCTCATTACAAAGACCGTGATATTTCTGCTCACTTTATCAGTTGAGAACCTCTTACTAAAAGGTTTGACATAACTGGGAAGACTGAGCTTTAGCAATTGCCAAGCAAGGTTTATATTCTAGTAAATTTAAGTCAAACTTCTAATCCATGCTGAGAATTGATAATACATATTTCAGAATTTTTCTAATAGATCATTTTATTTTACTTACATTGACACATGCTTACAGAACCTGGTCTAGTATATCATTTTCTAATCATCAAGGAAATCATATCACCTAACCAGATTAGAATTCTTGAAACAATCCTCCAGAGTAGTACCAAGATAATGACAGTGCTTTTGATAAAGCATAAGATTAGAAAGAGATTTGTTCCCTTTTTTTTTTTTTAACCTAGCCTTTTGGACTGACAAAACCTGAATAAAGATAGGCCATGATGGTCTGAATCTGGCAAAACCAAACCCCACGTGAAGATTGCCATCTCTTACTAAGGCTGTCCCTGTACTCTGTACCAAGCAGCATTCCACCCTATGATATTGCAAACAGCAGTGTTCCACCATGCCCCCTCAATGGCCTTGCCATAGTTAGGACATTCTTTCTTACACCTGAACAAAGTCTCTTCCTGCTGGAACATAGCATGCTTTCTCTATTTCTATCTGCTCTCTGGATGTGGAAGACCTTTGGTTAGCATCCCATTTATAATAACCATTGCTGTATTTTAAAATAATTAAGTCCACCTCATTCTCTTGCTCTAGGCATTTGAATCATATCTGTTGTTCTTCCCTAGACCATTGCCAATTTCTCTGCATCATTCTCAGAGTATGATTTATCTTTTGAAAAAAAGATTCAGCATTATATAGCCAGTGATCTCACTGGCCCGCTAATTAATATCAGGTGATTTCTAATTTTGGCATAACTTCTTTCCTATAAATATTGCACATTCTTTTCATATATTCTTTAAAGAGCAATTATAAACACTTATAAATTATAAATAGTATCTCGTGGAGCATCAGCTGGCATCATCTGTTGATCCAAATTAAAGCCTTTCCAAACATCATCTGGGAGGAAAAAATTGCATACCATGTGTATTGTTACATAACCAGTTCCACAGTCAGAATTCTACTATTGGACTGATCGGATTAAATAGCACAAGAGCAGAGATATCTTTGCCAAGAATCTGTTTGGGGAAGGCAGCATTTTCTGTTGCCACCAAGTGTAAAATCCTATTTCAGTATCTAATACTGATTTATTCACTAACCAGGCAAACCACGTGAGTGGATGGAAAGTCGTAAAGCTGGAAGAGACCTTGAAAGGTCAGAGTGCATAAGGCACTTCTGTGAATCATCCAAGACAGATGGTTGTCTGTTTCATTTTTAATAGTCTTTTGGTAAATGGATTCCAAGATTCTTTCAGTCATCTTCCTAGCATCCTAAAACAGTCTTTAGAATATAATCTAAACATTGTTTTATGCTCTTTAACTTTTAGCAAAAATAAACAATGCCTTTCATACCAATTTTTTAAAGTAAAAAATTGCTTAGGAGTGAAATAGCAGGCAGAGTGGGGAGACAAATATCAAATAGTGCCTTTTAGTGTACTGGCTGATTTTTTCTTTTGCAGGTCATTACCCAGTTCAGGAAAGCCTGATGTTCCCTGTTCTCTCTACATGAAGGAGCTTCAAGGTTTTATCGCCAGAGTTATGAGTGACTACTTTAAACACTTTGAATGCTTGGATTTTGTCTTTGACAACACTGAAGCTATTGCCCAAAGAGCCATTGAACTCTTTATCCGAAATGCCAGTCTCATAAGACCTCTTGGTGAAGGTGGGAAAATGCGTCTTGCTGCTGATTTTGCGCAGGTAAATTGATGCATAGCTACAAAGGGGAAAATGTTTCAGCCTCAGTATTATCCATTAAATAAAAGACCATCTGTGGTCTTCAGTTTTTTAACTGAAGAAAGTTTTTAATGTGAAAAAAGGAAAGAATTTAAAGATACTTTCATACCAGCTTTTTTTACTTTGTCTTTAACAAAAGGATCATCAGTCATCTTTGATATTTCAAGGTTAAGCTAAGTCGTTTGTCCCACAGTAGAGCAGCATTTCCCATTTTTACATAACATGGGGCTTTCTCACTATTTTATTATCCCACCAGGTCAGTACTGATAAGAATAATGGATTAACCTTGTTGGAAAATAATATAGACAATGAAATTTATCCTTCAAACAGTAGAAAAAGGCTGTCTGTTGTCACGTAAAGAGAAAGATCTCTGACACATGCATGGTTCTCCAGGGCGGTGTTCTAATTCATTTAGAAGCACAGAGGACCAGGTGAATTATTTGATCCCCCTCTGTTAAATAAGAGTACCTTTCCTGTGCGTGGCCACCTTGAAGTCATTCCACACTATCTGATGTGAATGAGGTAGAGTCACATTAAAATAGCAGAACCATAATCAGCTCTTATAGAAAGGTTTTTTTCTTTGTCCTTTAGACAGACTTTTTTAAAAGCCTTATAAATATAGTATCAGAGGCAGAGAAAAAACACCTCATACATGCACTTTCATTAAAAAAAGATTCAGAAACAATTCGTATTTACATAGCACGTCAAAGGTGAACTTATTTTTTAAGCCTTTGAAAGCTGTTAGCTTTACTAGTCTAAATAGTTATTCGAATGGATTATTCCTAGCGGTGTGCCAGATCCTCCCTGTTTATACAGATAGACAAATTGTAATGTCCCTCTTTATTCCTGTGTGTATCTGGGAGCAAGTCTTGGTTCATTATTCCTACTCCGAGGAAAGGATGTGGCGGGCTGCTTGTACCAGACGGTGGTTGTAGACTCACCCTCATACCTGACAGTTACAATAAGGAACAGGTACATATCATAATGTTTCAAGAGCCAGGCTCTTTGCATATTAACTGGTCTCGAATTAGTCATTTTCATCCCCAAATGATATGCCTGACACCACTAGGTCAGAGTAAAGAGCCTTCCTTTGTGAAATATGCCCTTAGTAACCTCAGCATGAAAATTGAAAGTAAATGCTACCATTCGTGTGGCTCCTTTTACCCTTCCTGTTTTTATCAACTTAATTCTCAGGCACCTGTACGTTCTGTTGTTACAGGTAAATTCTGTATATTGTCGTACTTGTCCCTTTCTGGGATTACAGGCTGCTTATCAAAGTGAAAACACAGTGATGTACCAAGACCTGCTCTTACTTGTTAAAAACACTGTGAGCTGAACTCAAATGGGTGTCTGTTCTTCTTTCCCCCTTTCCTCCTTCATTTTGTTTTTCTTTTCCTATCCTCTTCTTTCCCTGGGCTCTCCCTCCCCCACCCGTTTATTTGCATTCTGCTCCAGCTGGTTCTTGAGTCACTTTCCTGGAGGCAGCACTTCAAGTCCAATTAGAGTGGCAGCCAAGCAGGAGATGGCCAAAATGAGAGTTCTGTGGGAAGAAGGCTTTTTGTTTTTGTTTTTATTTTAATGCTATGTGACCTTGTGAGTTTTGAAAGCTGGAGAGCATTGTCCTGTGACCCTTGCTACCACAGCTGGCACCTGTTCAAAATGCGTAGCATCCAGGGGCAGGGTTGAGCTCCCACCTTCCTTAAAACTGCACATTCAGAATTTTATTTGGCATTCCTTCTTTCTGAAGACATGTTGCCTATAAACCAAACCTTTCCCCAGGTCCCTTCCGTTAAGATAAATGAAACTCATCAATCATTATTACTAACTTATGCTCCAGGGCAGCCTCCGTTTTCCATTTCTTACTCGATGTTAAGAAATATACTTTCCAGGCCGGCAGTGACACTGGTTGCTGCAGCCTCCGTGGGGCTGATTCCTTGGTTCACTTCGGGATAGTGTCCCTGTTTCAGAACCTCGTGCCACTCACTCTGTGGCTGCTTCCCTGGCCCTGTGGGTCGTGGGTGCAGGAAAGACAGGTGCCAGCACTTCTGAAGTCAGTCATGGTTGTGACCAGTAGCTTTGGCAAGTATTATCCAGCTGTTATATCTTCCCCCCATATTTTAAAAACATTAAAGTGAATTGAAGGCTTTTGTTTCATTTGATGTGGTTTCTTCCCACAACTGCAGTTATGTGGCATTGTACCTTGGGTTTCGTACTTGGTTGCATTTGTCTGGGGTGAATCAAAACCCTGAGATGGCATTGCCCTGACTTTTATATTCACGACGGGCATCACCTGGGACTAGAAAGCCTTTTGGCTGCCTCATTACTGAAAGTTCTACCGATTTGTATTCAAAATTAAACAAAGCCATTGAGGCCATTGGAATCAAGACCACACAAGTCCTCTGTGGGTTTGAAAAGAGTTCTTGTGATAAAAGTGCCTGCTTTTCTGGCATAAATAACAGAAAGAGAAAGAGCTCAGAAGACTCCAGTAGGGTAGGTTTGGGAATACTGATTATTTGGCATAAAGTCCAGCTGCAAAGACAGATAATGATATGTTTTAAAGATTTCTGTAGGAATCCTAACTTCTCCCCACTGGCGGCGTTGCACAGGTGAAAGAGTATGTATTTGCAGGGAGCCATCTGGGGGGGCTCACGATGAGGGAGGTGCCCAACGCACACCCCCTAGGAATCAGGTCACGGGCATGAGGCGCTTTCCTCCTGGTAATTAATTCCCTACTGTGACCACATGGTCTCTGTGTTTACACTAATCACACAGCACTTGTAAAGTACTAAGCTGGTCCAAGGCCACTGGGGTTCTGCTGATTCAGAATCTCTCTGGGGACTTGTCCATACTGCCCTCTGAACCACACATTCCCCTCTGCCCCTCAACTGTGTTTCTTTCCTGAGGGAAAGGACGGCTTTTGACATTGGCATTAAATCATTTACTCAGTGGCACTCTGAGCAGTTTCTCTTTATTTCTGGTGCCCTTTAAATACTATACATTTATATCTGTTTTGCTTTTTGCCTGGAAATATAAATTTAGGGAAGAACCCCAGATAATCAAGATTCTAATTCCTATTGCCTTTTCTCCTGAACAGTATCAGGGCAGGAATGCCCTGGGAGTATCCATAGATGCCCTGTGGTTAACCAAATGTCTGCGGTGGGCACGGAGCAGCTATGTAATTAGTTCACCACGCCTGCAGCTGACTGTTCGTTCCCTCCAAACAGGGGAGCTGGAGAGAGGCGGTTGCAGATGCCATTTTTGTATCCACAGCTAATTGCAGAGTCACCTCCTCTAAAAGGAACATTCCTGCCCTTCAGAAACATGGCCTTTATTGTTTAATGGAACTCTGACAGAAGATGGTTTTTAGTACCCTAGAGGTCCTTGATGGATGAAAAATTTATTTTGAACATTTAACGTTTTGAAATTGTCCTATGGCATAGAAATCTGCAGTCATCATAGGTGACCCAGCCATTCGAGGTCATATTCTCTCATACTGTAATTTTTTCCTAGCCACTTATTTGTTTTAACATTCAATCTTGCTCAAGTGCTAAGGCAAAGGTTGTTTGGTTTAATCTTTGAAAATGATGAAGCCCACTAGGGTAACTGAAAAAAAATTGACAAAAACATTTCTTGAAAAATACTTCACATAATTTCAGTGTGTAAGAAACCATTATATGCACACATGTACAGACACACACACAGTCATAGGTACATGATACCACATTTGTACTTTGCGCTGACTATAAAATAAATGCCACATTCTGTAGGAAACCAGAAACTCCCATTGAGTGAATAAACAGGTCCCAAGGAACAGCCCATCACTCAGTGTCTTCTAGAACACTGGGTCAAGGCCGCTCTCTTTTGCATTGTTGGCAAGAGTCTGACTTTTCTTCCTCAGATTTCTCTTTTTATTTACTTATTCTTTTGTATTTTAGAGAGTTTGCTAATCATGTGAGGTTGGTTTCCCTCTAGAACCTACAGGGTATATACTGTGTCTTCTGTATGCTAGGAGACAAATTCACCAGTCACGACTCACCCTTGAGACATCTGAAGAAAGAAAGCTGCCCTGCAATTCTCCCTGACACTCAGTTCGTACATTTGGTTTCACACTTGTCATTTCTCTTAATAGTAATCAGTATGTGTGTATGTGTGTCTATGTATACACACACATACCTCTCTTAAAATTTAGATGAATAAAAATTACATTGTTTAAATAAATATTTATTCCCTTCTTTGATAAATTTGAGAGAGCTCCTCAGAGGCAAGACCATCTAATTCATCTTCTTATCCCCGTGTCTAGCTTGGTGCCTGGAGTCAAAAATGTTTCTCAAATGAGTGAGTGATTAGGTCTCCATGGTCTTCCAACGTCAAGGAGATTTGAACAGTTTTTCAGAAAGATGGCCAGCAAGACAGAAACCCCATTTTTCTTTCATATGTTTTTCCTGAAGAAAGATGTTGATTTACCAGGGAGCAGCCTTTTCTCAGTCATTTTCTAAATTATTCTTTACCAGGGTCCTGTTTATAGCGAGTATAGAGAGATGGTTTATCATCTGAGTACCACATATGCAAAAATTTTGCATATGCGCTTGGTGGATAAAGAACAGGTAGCCTAAAACTCAATTAATGACAAAATTTCCAGTCAAAGGAGGAAAATAAAGAGAAGTGAAAGTAGTAGTTGCTAAGTTCTTCAGTCAGGAAACAAATTAATTCACTAACGTTTAAAAGGGGGAAGTTTTTAAAATACTGATAGTAAGTGCTGACATTTAACAAGCACTTACTATATGCTGTGCTCATAGTGCTTTGTGAAATTATCTATTTTACTTGCATAATTTTACGATAGGCATTACCTTCATTTGACAGTTGAGGAAGTTGGAACGTAAAGAGGTTAAGTCCAGGGCCACACAACTAGTCGTTGTAGAGCAGAAATTCTGACACAAGTGCGCTGCCTCCAGAGTCAGTGCTTTTAACCCCCTGAGCCAGCCTGGTGAAAACGGACATCATTTATGTTAATGTACAAAGGCTCGTGATGTCTGCTTAAAGTATAGCCACAGAGGCAGGCTTGAAAACGTTCCTTTTTCTGATTTTTCAGTGGAGAAAAACAATCTAAACTTTCTCCTCTTACATAACAAAAAATGCTTTTCTCTTCTTGAAGGAATTATGCCTCTTTAGTAAATAAATGCAGAAGTTATCTAAGCTCTTGCCTTTTAATAAATTTGACTTTCAAAACCTGCCTCACAGGGAAGATAAAATTTAAGTTTACTGCAAGCTACAACCTTCTGTGATCCAAGCGTGTCCCCAGTTCACTTCAAGATTCTGAGGTAAAAAGCTGGGGATATCTTTTAATATTTCAGATGGAGTTGGCTGTGGGTCCGTTCTGCAGAAGAGTATCTGATTTAGGAAAGTCCTATCGAATGCTGAGGTCATTCAGGTGAGACATAATTCTGTTATCGCTGTTAATATAGCCATATCCTGTTAGCAGATAAATCCTCCCCTGTTCATGTCCATCTGTATGAAATTGCCATTATTCAACCGTTTTGTGATGTACAACAGTGGCATTTGAAAGTTATTCTTCAAACCAGAAATTTATATAGTGTTATATGCGATGACTAGTGTATGTATGTATGTCTGTGTATGTGTTAGTTTTGAGTTGCAGTTCATAAGATTGAGCTGGTAAATTTTTTATTATGCTCTTTCTAGGGGGATTTATTTATTTTTTACTCTCCATTCTTACAGAAATATATTGAGTAGTAATACAAGGCAGTTCATAATTTATAGATGTCTTTTTCTGAAAGTATTACTGGTTCATTTATCATTTCCAATCCAGTTTACTTCTAAAAAGGTCATAAGTTGTATTCCCTAACAAAACTATTAGATAGAGTATTAGAAGAACTGAGTTTAGTGGTGAAATGCAGGGAATGACTGTAAATGTAGTAGATAATTTAGGCTAAAGATGGCTAATGCAGTTGAGCACAAAATTTGGGATTGAGCTTACTTGAAACCAGTTCAAAAAGAAAAACAATGAGTTAATTCAAACTCATAATCTAAGAATATACCAATTGAACAGGAAACTCGTTTTCAGTGCTGAATGCTTAGATAGACCTTTTGCCAACTCAGATTTTAAAGACTTGAATAGCTTAATGACTAGGTCTTAAGTATCAGATTTTAGAAGATAAAAAGATGTTGTTCATACGGCTGTTTATTCAGTAAGCCAAACTTTTTCACATCGTGGCACACATAGAAAATATATACATATAAAACGACCAACCCTGAGGGCCAAGGGGATCAACATAATACTTATGACCATTTTCTGACCACAGCATACCAGATGGGAAACCTTGATATCAGCTCTCCATAATATCCAAAAGCATAATGGTTTTTGAATCTTTCTTTATAAAGATAGGTAAGAGAGTCCAGGCATGTGGCTTTCTATAAACTGACTCAGTACTAGAAACTAGAGTAATCAATAAGCAGTATGTTCTTTAAAAGATTACTTCACTCTCTTATGTCATCCAAGCTTTTGGTAGAAAATTCAAGTGTAATGAACCCAAGGTTGTTGATTGAAAGGGAAGGCTTATCCTTTACTTTGCCTGTGAGTAATTGGCAGTGATTTTTTTTAATGGCAACACAAGAGCCTGAAATATTTTTCTCAGATGCCCATCTGAGTTGGATTTCAAAAAAACTTAAAGTGGGATCACAAGTGTTTTCAGATACCTTCTTTGGATTAGCTCAAACCTTTTATAAAGTATTTAAATATTTTGGAAGCCTTAGGGTTTGGCACTACCAAATATGGACAAGTCGAAAGATTAAGAGATACTGAGTACCCGATCCACCAGTCATCTGTATGTACCATAAAAATAACCTTAATAAAACTCCTGTAAAGTCACTTACTTTGAGTATGATGGTGACACGGCAATCCCGGTTGGATGATCAAATGCTGCCCTGAGTAACAGAATCTTAGCATGTTGAGGGATATCAACAAATTAGGTATTTTAAAAGGCATGGGAAAAGCTGTGATTAGGGGTTTGCTATTTTAAGATTAGACTATTATTTTTGATAGTGCTGGCTCCCATGTTTAGTTGTTTATTCCACATGTATGTATTAAAATAGTGCTTATCTTATTTGCTGAGGCAAGACGGCCTTTATCCAAGTGCTTTTAAAGTTGTGTCACAGTATGGAGATACACATTCTAAGGTTTCACATAAGAACAGTTCTGTTTTAATTCATTTAAGGTTTTCTGTCAACCCTCCCAGTTTTCACATGAAAGAAGGACTCTTTAAAGGAGCGTTTAAAGTTTGAATAGTAGTGTCACCTTCTAGTATCTATTTATGGAATAAAAAATTAATGATTGGTTAGTGGATACTTTTTTAAAATCCTATGGGGTTTTTTTTTTGGTTTTTTTTCGCGTTACGCGGGCCTCTCACTGTTGTGGCCTCTTCTGTTGCGGAGCACAGGCTCCGGACGCGCAGGCTCAGCGGCCATGGCTCACGGGCCCAGCCGCTCTGCGGCATGTGGGATCTTCCCGGACCGGGGCACGAACCCGTGTCCTCTGCATTGGCAGGCGGACTCTCAACCACTGCGCCACCAGGGAGGCCCAAAATCCTATGTTTTTTATAGCTAGCTTCTCTCATGGGGCAATGGTCAATCTAGATGTGTTTCTGAAATTTGACCCTGACTCACATTAAGAGAGATTTTATGTTACCATCTGGCATACACTTGCATGCAAGTACACTCAAACCCAGGCACACACACACGCACACACATGTGTGCCATGAAACAGTAGTTACTCTCACTTCATGTGATATTCTGTGACATTTCTTTTTCATTTGGTTGGTTATTTTAACCCATTTAATTGGTTTCATGACCCACTAATGTTTTGCATCCCATGGTTTCTCACCTTTTTCACAGGGCCCTCTATTGTTGAACTTCAGCTGCTCTAGTGATAGGGGCTGAGTTTTGTCCCTTTCTCCATCTATAAAGATTTATGCCCTTTTCTCCTGGGATTCCGGTAGCCCTGAGCTTCCTCCAGCACACCCCTCAGCTCCTAAGGCCTTGGCACATACGTAATAAGAGTAATTGTACTTTGCCTATGAAGACTTCTCCATATCTTGAATTCAGTGAAAAATTCTAACAGAGATTTATATCTATCAGTATATTCCTAAAGATATATTGAATGTACAGAAATCTCTCAGATTGATTCTAGAGCTTTCTCAGTTGTTTGAGAGGTCTTGGACACCATATGATAAAGATTTTAAGATTAAGTGGATCAGGAAATAAAATGAAAGCATAGTATATTCTGGGGTTCAAATCTAGCCCTAGTCTGAAAAGAAGGTTTCAGGTCCCATCTTTGGAGAAAAGGGATGTCAGTGCCCCTGCCTCTGCCTGTGTACATGTCCAGGAAAGGCCCCGGCTCCGCCAGCTTCTCTGCAGTTGTCGTGATTGACTTAGGACAGCTTCCCCATGTGGAGGTCCTACAGAGTCCCTTCCTAGAGGGGAGTGAGTCAATACAGAGTCGTCTTTATTCTAGTAACCCAGTTCTAGGCACTTTATTTGCTACCTGCAAAAACTTGTTAAGACATCTGTCTCTTCTCTAAAATTAGTCCTGAGCAGTTGCAGTGGCAGGGCCCATTCTTGTGAACCCTGCCGTCTGTGCTGTGTGCTGTGTGCTGTGACAAGGAAAAGGCGTCGTCCAGTGGTCGTGTACGTAATTGACCTGGGCTCTTGTTCATGGGTCTCCTCCCTAAAGGTTCCGAGTCACATCAGCACCAGCCCAGTGGCAGTCAGTAGGAGATTGGCTAAATAAAACATGCCACATTCATAGGATCAAATATATGCAGCCGTTAACAAGTTATGTTGTTAGTTAATATCTAAGAATATGAAAAATACTTCCTAATGCATCACGAAATGAAAAAGGCTACTGAACAGTATATATGGTATAGATCCCTACTATTTTTAAAATAATAGCATGTGTGTTTGGAGAGGAAAAATCAAGGCTAAACATCAGAATGTTACCTTGGGTGAGTAGCATTGTTACTAGTGATTTTTCCTTTAGAGGTTTCCTATATTATTCAAACTTTTTGCTTTGGTTGTTTTATATTTGTAGTTAGAAAAGTCAACAGATATATTTAACAATCCCTCTTGCAGTGTTTCATCCATTTAAAAATAACAAGGGAGCCTAAAAATAATATAAAATATACTAAAACGTTATATGGTAAGGGTCGGGGGGGCGAGAAAAACAGGCAGCCAAACTACCAAAAGCCCAGCAGGTTTAGAGGCAGGGGCTGCAGGAGGGGGCAGCAGGCCCAGTGCAAGGGAGGGTGACGGTGCCAGGCAGGGCATCTCCAGCCCGGACCCCGGTGCAGCCTCCCCTCCCCCCTCCCCAGACACCCTGGCTTTGGCAGGCGCACCCTCCCCTCATCAGGCAGCCATCTGCCACAGGGCACTTCTCTTGGACGTAATGTCAGTGGACTCTTTAATTAGGCTGGCAAGCCTCTTCCAGGCATTTACCTTTTACTGTCTACATGAGAATTTCCCAGGCAGCGGCAATCTTTTACTCTGGAGCGAATGCTGCCTCAGAAAGCTGCGGACATTAGGGACTTGCCCCTGGGTGGTTTGTGTTTGTACACAAGACACACGAGGCGCTGTCCCTGTCCACCCCTCCGCAGCATGACGGTGTCCCCCAAGAGGTGTCCGTGAGGGAGGTTACCTTTGCTCCACCTGGCCAGGGGCCTGTCAGTGCAGATCGTTGTGAGACAAAGGACAGAAAGAGCCACAGGCCTCTCACCGCCCGGGACACAGACCCTGCCTTCAGGCAGGCCTGCTCCCAGGGAACAGCCTGCTCTGCTGGAAGCTTCCTTGGGTTTAGTGGAAGAGCATTGAGAGCTGCCAGGAGATAAGGGGTGTTCTGATGGATCTCTTAGCATGAGGGGCCCGGAGAAGGAAGAGCATTAGTAACTCTAGAGTGTGGTGTTCACACCAGCAGTTTTCAGCTGGAGGAGTGCTGAGGGTTCCCGTGTCTGCAGTTACCTCCGTGATCATCTGCCACTTGAGGTTCCGCGCAGGCCCCTGCCTGCGTGTCTGCAGACCTGACGGTGGCCGTCTCTGCAGCCGCCGTGACGAGCGCTTCCAGCCCCAGATGTGTTCTGTTCCTTCCTTCCACTCAGTCCATCCTCTGCAATCACGATTTCCCCAAGGTTTCTGGATTCTTAATGCCAAGCTTCTGATGTCAGCGTTGAAGACAGAAGGCAGCCACATCTGGGGCTTGCTTCGCTTTGCTGTCTGCCAATACTTCGGCAGTGCTAGGAGCAGCCGGGTAAATGTGGAGGACTGGATAGTTCATTTATTGTCGTTTTTATTCTAATAGTCATTATTTGATTATTATATGCTAAGCCTGTGCTGAGCGTTGTCCTGGTACTTTCTCCTTCCACCCTTACCACAATAGATGAGAGTTAGGGACAACTCCCAGGCAGCAGTCAAGGCTGAGGGGTGTAAGCTTTTGGGGCTGCACATGTGAGAACTGTGTGTGAGCCGCAGGGCTGCATTTCAGACCCAGGACTGCCTGTGCTCGCAACCACCGAGCCCCGCGTCTTATCCCAGAAGTCTGTGCTTGTTTGCACTCCAGAGGGTCCTAGAGCAATATGTGCACGCTTATATGATTCATCCAGGAGAAGTCAGAGAGTGTTAAAGAGAATCTAAACTCCCCACTTTGGCGGTGACCTCCTGCTCTGAAATGCCGCATCTCCCATCTTCTGCTGCAGACAGCCTTCCGGGAGATGCTGCAGGAAACTTGAACCAGATGTGGGCTTTTATTCTCAGAGAACGCCTGCTTGAAACCCCTGCCTCCTTTCTGTCCTGGTCCCCTGGGACTGACAGCCTTAGACTCCAAGACAGGAACCTGGGGGGCCTCTCACCTCTCTGCTCTGAGCCCTGACTCACCCCCCAGTCATCAGCCTCCTGCTCCGTTCTCTCCTGGGACACACACAGTCCCTCCTGCCACCATATCTGGGCCTCTTCCCATCTCTCCGAAGCCCTCACTATGTCTAGTGCAGGGAGGAGTCCCGTGTCCTCCCCTCCTGCCCCACTCATTTCTCTGCTGATTCCGCATCTCAGTGCACATTCTCAGTGGTCTGGGCTGCCCTCACCAAAAGGGGCTTTGCGGTGCGGGTGGCGGCAGGCAGCCCAGGAACCCCGGATGCTGGCTGTGGACGCGGGACAGCAGGACTCGAGTCTTGTTCCGCTCTGTAATTGGCCTTAACAGAAGACTGACAGCTACACAGCTCTGGATCACTTAAATGTGGAGATCTACTAGAAGTACAGTTTTTTTCTAATGGGATCTAATACTTGATTAATTAAGACTACCAGCTGGGGACTTCCCTGGTGGCGCAGTGGTTAGGAATCCGCCTGCTAATGCAGGGGACACAGGTTCGAGCCCTGGTCCGGGAAGATCCCACATGCCACGGAGCAACTAAGCCCACGCGCCACAGCTACTGAGGCTGCGCTTAGAGCCCGCGAGCCACAGCTACTGAAGCCTGCGCACCTAGAGCCCGTGCTCTGCAACAAGAGAAGCCCCCGCGATGAGAAGCCTGCAAACTGCAATGAAGAGTAGCCCCTGCTCGCCGCAACTAGAGAAAGCGCGGGCATAGCAACAAAGACCCATCGCAGCCAAAAGTAAATAAATTAATTAAATAAATTAAAAAAGAAATACCAGCTGCCTGTAAAGTTTAACCTTGAAAAACACTGCTACTTAGAGTATTTTTCTCTAAGAGTGATTTTGTGGCATTTGGGGTACCTGTGTTTTATAACACCTTAATTAATTTCCTTTTGTTCCTTTTATCACCTCAGATGGTGATGTATTTTTTGAACTTGCCGGTATTTCAGATTCCACCTGGAATCAGGGAGAAGGGAGGTTCTCATTCTGTGTTCTTTCAGCTTCTTAAAACAAGCACCGGAAACAAAATGTCTGCATTCAGTGTTTACAGGTAATTATGTCAGTGATGCATAATACGAAATCAAATCCAGTTGTGCTTTCCATGGCTTTTTTGGCAGTCCTGTTAGTGGCTAGAGTGGAAGATTTGGTCTTGGCAGAAAAATTACAGCTGTGACTCAGAGCTCCAAAGGGACAAGTGATTGACCAGAAGATGCTGTTTCAAAGTGAGCTGGTTTCTATCAGGCCTGCCCTGTGCAGGTGTTGCAGTCAGCAGCCTCGTGTGTGGCTCGGCTGGGCTGCCGGCCGTGGCACGTTACCGATCGTTCCTCCCTCACCGTCTCCCTCCCTCTCCCTTTCTCATCCTTCTTCCCTCCCTGCCCTTGGATTGTTTGCAGTTTGCCTCAAGAATATAGAAGGAAAACAAAAACACAAATATTCAAACCATAAAACTAATTTAATTGTGGTAGATAAGTTTCAAATTTGACTTTAAACTTCCTGAAGCCAAAGATAAAAGAGGAACAGAATCAGCTATGTAATTCTCACTTTCGGGAGGAAAGAAGTATATCAATTCTTAGGAAAAAGTTCATTGTTTCTTAGTACTTAATTCTAAAGCATTTGTACGTGGGACTTCATATAGGGAACACTGAGAGAGAGCGGGGACCAAAATTCTTGGTCATCTTTTTGTCATAGAGGCAGAAAGGATTCCATGTGGCTGCCCTTCAGTAAGTGGAGGACTGTCATACAGGACTGGCCTCTCCCCCCCGGGTCTCTTCATGTCATGAGCTAGGGTTCAGGATGAATCCTACCATGTCACATGCTGTAGGCAAAGACTGGGCTTTACTGGGGCAGGGGAGGACTCTCACCAGACCAGGGGCAGCCAGGAGAGAAGTGAAGGCACAAGCTCCCCTGTCTGCCCACATCCTCAGGGTGGCCTCTCAGGAGTGCCAGCAGGATGAGCCCGTGACCCAGTGGAGGAGCTGCCTCCCCATTGGCTCTTTGCCCTGTTACAGCTCAAACACGCGCTTGGCCCCAGGCTGGCTTTGAGTCTGGGAATGTCAGCTGCTCAGCACCCGGTGACCTTGGGCTGTGAGATGTTTCAGCTTCCTCTGCTGGGACAAGGGTTCTCCAGGCTACGGGAAGTGGAGCTGGGGCACAGTTTCCTCCCCTCCCACCCAGAGTCAGCTTCCAGAGGCTTCTGAGACCGTAGTGCTCATCGCCGCCCTCCACCCCCCGAAGGACTTCAGGTCGTGCCGGGTGAAAATAATTCCAAGAGAGACTGTGATGATATGGTTCAATTATGTGGGTGACTGGAGGTCCTTGACCCATGGAGAGAATTTGGGGATACCTAAAGAGGTAATAACTGCATGGCCTTCAAATGCTGTCCTGGAAACATTACTTTGCTCAGGTTACCATATGGGAGTTGTTAACAGTTTGAAGCTGTACTTTCTCCAGGGGTCTTTGTTTCTCCCTGAGAATAAGTCTGTCTGTTCTAAAAACGTGACGAGTAGTTGCTACAGTTGATATCCTAAAAGAGGCTGCCTGGCAAGATGAAGAGCCAGGCTGCACAGGTTTGAGTCTGTGTTCTGCCCTTTCCTAGCTTTTACTTGATTTCTCTTCCTCTCAGTTTACCTGTCTGTAAAATGGGGATGTAACAGTGCCTACCTCATAGGGTCGTTTGGAGGAATAAATGAGTTCACGTTTCTAAAGCTTTAAATAAGTGTTCTGTGTGGTAGCCATTGCTGCTGCTGTTAAAACTAGGAGCTTTGCCTAGATGGAGACAGAGTCTTCGACACACAGAGAAGGACTTAAACAGGGATGCCTCCAGGAAAACCAGAATTCCCTCAGCAACGTTTTCATACCCGAGTAGGTGCTGGACTCATTGCCTAAGGCTCTGCAGCGTGGAGCTCTGTGAGGTGACTGCCCTTGGAAGTGTTCAAGGCAAGTGTACCACCCACAGCTGTGGGAAGACCCTAGCCCTGCTCCCACAGAGGACCTGGTTCAGAGCTTTGTGGAAGTCTGGAGACAGGCAACACAGATGAACTAAAAAGTTTCCACAGTAGTTAAAGACAATAAATTATAGAATAATGTTGTTTTACAAAACAGTTGAAATTAGAAGAATCCCTGCCAGGGATAAATTTTATAGAATAGCTACTATAAAGACATTTTTTCCAATATATTCTGGATCCAACCAGAACCAACTATCTTTTGAGAGCACTGCTGACTCTTGAGTGTATCATCAGTGTGGTGAAGAAGCTTATGTCTCTGGTTCGTCCAGGCCTTCAGCTGTAGATTGGAGTAAATTACGTGGGGTGAAGAAAGAGCCCAGGTACAGAGCTATTTTACATACTTCAGAATCGCTGCTGAGTCAGGAGATGTTGCTGCCATCTTTCCTCTTGAGATTCAGCCTCTACAGCTTGGCCTTTAATTAACTCTTATCTATCAGAGCCCAAAGCCAAGGAAGAGTCAGTAAAAGTTTCAAATTATTTTTGCCAGCCTTTGACAAGGGGGTAGGTGCTTGGGTAACGGGATAGATTTTCTTGCAGGCTCCTGTAAAATGCAGGGGTACCCCGGACATATTACGGGTTCGGTTCCAGACCACTGCCGTAAAGCAACTGTCACAGTAAAGCCAGCCACACAAATTGTTTGGTTTCCCAGTGCATATAAAAGTTACGTTTATACTATAGTTTATTAAGTATGTAGTAGCATTATGTCTAAAAAAATTGTACGTATCTTAACTAAAGATACTTTATTGCTAAAAATGCTAACCATCATCTAACAACACAGGGTTGCCACAAACCTTCAGTTTGGTAAAAAACACCAAATCTGTGAAGTACAGTAAAATGAGGGAGGCCCTTCGTGGATGGTGACGCCCAGACACACAGTGTGTCAGAAGGGAGGGATGGTCAGTGAGGTAATAATTTTGTATATACAAGGACGTAATTGCCCTTTGAAAAGTTGTATGGAAAACTGAATTTTGAATTTATTGAAATTTTGAATTTATCCACATTAGATTATAGCCCAAGGAAGGATTTTATATAAAATAAAAACTGAAAATTTTGACCAAACCTATTAGTTATAACTACTTGACAGCTTCAGCTAAGTGCTTTGATTTTAGCCTGTTCATCAGATGAGCTCTAAGAGGGGATTTTGCTGAGTCACCTTGAAGTAAAGTCAGACCCAAAGGCAGTGAGCTGGGGGTCAAGGAAGGAGCTGAAGGGCAGGTCCACCTGCCAGAGTGTGGGGTGGGTGTGTGTGTCTCCCGGCTAAACAGGGGGTTAAGAAATGGTTAGGAATTAGCCAGTGTAGGAAGACTGCTGTTATTCAGTCTTCTACTGCGTATTATGCTATCACGCTACTGTGCGGTTATATTCTGCTAGTATGCTATTGTGATTCTTCTACCAAGTCACCTCTTTCTGTATCGAATAGTATTAAATAACTTCTGCGTTTCCCTCTTTTAGACCACTGCTCTTCCAGACAAGTGAACACGTGGCCAGTAGCCCTGCACTGGGGGACATTATTCCATTCAGCATCATTATTCAGTTTTTGTTCACAAGAGCACCCCCTGAGCTGAGATCCCCCTTCCAGGTAAGGAAGTGAAGAATGTGCCGCTGCCGCCCCCCTCCCCCCAACTGAAGGTGCCCGACCTTCTCCTGCCTTACATAATCAAGGATTCCTGTCTTGAGCAAATGCCTAAGGAAGGAAGAAAGATTCCCACTGCCCAGCCCCTACTTTCTCAGCAGTGTAAAAATTGCCTGCTGCATCTAGAATTAGCCCTTTAAATAATAGTGACACAAGTCATTTATGTTCGTAAAGCTTTTTTTTTTTTTGCGGTACGCGGGCCTCTCACCGTTGTGGCCTCTCCCGTTGCGGAGCACAGGCTCCGGACGGGCAGGCTCAGCGGCCATGGCTCACGGGCCCAGCCGCTTCGCGGCACGAGGGATCTTCCCGGACCTGGGCATGAACCTGCGTTCCCTGCATCGGCAGGCGGACTCCCAACCACTGCGCCACCAGGGAAGCCCCATAAAGCTTTTTTGACAGAGGCTCCATTTACTTTTCTGACCTACCTTCAGTTGGCAAACCCAAAAGGCTCTTTGGGAGTCAGGAAGGTGCCCCAGGGGCTGTGCCGCCTGCCGTTGGGCAGGTGTCTGGCGTCATTTGACCCCGGGAATCCCTGCTATCCTCTCTGAACCCGCACGTGCTGTCGCAGGATGGGATTCACCCTCTCTCCTCTGATTGTGTTTCCACCCTGCAGAGGGCCGAGTGGTCCCACGCACGCTTCTCCCAGTGGCTGGATGACCATCCCTCTGAAAAGGACAGGCTCCTCCTCGTCAGGTAGAGCTGTGCGCTGCAGGGGCACCGCCCAGGGCGTGGGGGATGTAGGGGAGGAGGAAGGAGAGGGCCCCGGCGGGTGTGTGCACGTTGTGCTCCCCCGGGGCAGGCGCCTCACCTGCTGGAGTGCTGCCGGGGCACGTTGCTGGGGGGCATGTCAGGTTTTGCTTTCCGTGTCCTCCACATCCCCTCTTGTGCTGTCCCGTGCCTGATGCAGCCCTAAGAACCATGCGCTTCTGTTTTGAAAACCAACCTCAACTATGAAACGACTCCTTGCCTTGGCTCCATTTTCTGCTTCATTTCCACGTGGGGCAGTTACTGAAGTCGTGGAACGCAGATGGGAGTAAACGTGATACTGTTATTAGTAGAAAACAAGGACACCCAGCAGCCTAGTGCCTCTCAGGTGTGTTTATGCACGTGTGTGCACACATGCAGACACACCCACCACCCCCCGTACACCCCCGCCATGCCCAGGGTGGGATGCTTGCACTGTCCCATACGACTTACTAAGCATCTCTCTTCCATCAGCACTCCCCTTTGAAATTTCCCTCACCAAAATCTCCAGAGACCTCTTAGCCGCCAAATGCAGATGTTTCTGTTCTCACTTTATCACTCTGCGGCTTTAGCTAGAAGTGACCACCGCTTCCTTCTTGAAACTGCTCATCAGCTGACCGATTCCACTTATTTTTATTGATACTCACCATGTGCCAGGCCCTGAGGACACAAAGCAAACCAAGACAGGCCCTGCCTTCTTGGATCTTCCATGGCACCTCCGTCATCTGTTTCTCTTCTCATCTCTGTGGCCATATTTTCCCTCAGTCTCGTTTGCTGAACTGTCTTCTTCTGTCCACTCCTTAAAGGCCATCATTTCCCACAGTGTGTTCCTGGCTCTTTTCCCTTCACGTTCGATCTGTACTTTGGTTCCCAGGTGAGCTCACCCAGACGCATGACTCTAGTGACCTCGTCTGTCTTGTGGCTCCGGGTCTGTGGTTCATCTTGGTTGCCCAGGGGCCTCAGGCCAGCAAACTTGCTGTCACATGTCATCACTCAAAGCCCCACAGAAATCTCAACCCCAAAATGCTGAAAGTAAATCATCTTTCCTTTCAAACCTGCTCATTCTCTTAGACTCACTGTCTTTTTTGTTTTTGTAAACTTTTTATCTTATATTGGAGTATAGCCAATTAACAATGTTGTGATAGTTTCAGGTGCACAGCAAAGGGACTCAGCCATACATAGACATGTATCCATTCTCCCCCAAAACTCCCCTCCCATCCAGGCTGCCACATAACATTGAGCAGAGTTCCCTGTGCTATATAGTAGGTCCTTGTTGGTTATCTGTTTTGAATATAGCAGTGTGTACATGTCGATCCCAAACTCCCTAAATATACCCCCATCCTTCCCCTGCCAGCCCCGTAACCATAAGTTCATTCTCTAAGTCTGTGAGTCTGCTTCTGTTTTGTAAATAAGTTTATTTGTATCATTTTTTTTTTAGATTCCGCATGTAAGGGATGTCATACGATATTTCTCTTTCTCTGTCTGATTTATTTCACTCAGTATGACAATCTCTGGGTCCATCCATGTTGTTGTAAATTGCATTATTTCATTCTTTTTAATGGCTGAGTAATATTCCATTGTATATACGTACCACATCTTATTTATCCATTCCTCTGTCGATGTAGACTCCCTGTCTTGGTTGGGGTGTCACTATCACCTATATCCAGCCAAGCTAGAAAACATTTAAGCCATCATTCAACTGCTCTGTCACCCTCATTCTCCAAAGCCAGGCAGTTGTACCTCTTAAAATCACTTTGGAAGCCATTCTCGACTCTTCCAAGGGACCCTAATGCTCTTAGCCTGGGGACCAGGGCACCAAACCAGCCTTTGCTTGAGTCTAAGAGCAGGGGATGAGTTGGGTTCTCCAGAGCCAGCCTGGGGCTCGTGTGCTGAAGTGGTTCTCGGCTGTGTTTGCACCCAAGAGTCACTTATGGAGCTTTGAAAAATCCACGTGTCAAGGCCACACCCTGACTGCCTCGGAATCTCCCTGGGAGCCAGCATCGGGATTTCTTAAAGTGGCCCGCGGCTCCGCAGCACAGCTGGGGCTTCACAGCACAGTCGTCAAGTGCGAGCCCACCCCACTCCACTCCCCCTGCCGCCGAGGAAGGAAGCTGTGGGGGTCGTGGAGGAAGCCTCAGCCTGCCAGATCCGGGAGCGGCGCCGAGTCCTCAAGTGTGGCGACCGGCGCCCCGGGGGAGCGCCCGGCCCTGCCAGTGGATAAAGAGGAGGGTGGCCCGCGCCCCTGCTCTTCTTCCGTGCTGGCCGCTTGTCCTCTCAGCTCTGAGTATCTGAGCGAAGAGTGGGGTGGGACGCGTGGTGAAGCTGTCACCGCCAGTGCGGCTTCTGGTTAAACGGCCCTCAGAAGAGGCCCCAGGTGTGGACGGGGGACTCCGCCGGGGCTGGTGTGGGGCTTTGCGGTGCCCTCCCCGAGTCCCGTTGACTCGCCAGCTGCAGCCCACTGGCTAGTACAGGAGTGCGCAGGGCTCAGTTGATGGAACAGGGCGCACCTTTGTCCTCTAACGAGTTGCACTGAGCTCATCTACAACAGTTGTCCTGCTATGGGCACATCACAAATCTGCTTCCTTTTGCTTCTTTTTAAAAATGTCTCCCGAGTGATTTCATCGGCAGTGCTGTTGCTGAGCCTATATTTAGCAACCGAAAACCGTGCTCAGAAATGCTGTCAAGCTTTTTGAATCAGGCCTGCGCATCACGCCACGCATGGCTGATACCAGAGCCTTCGGTCCTGAGCAGGGAATGAAGCCCTCCTCGGGGGCTCCAAACCCTGTGCTCCTGCTCCGGCCCAGGCTGCTAACAAAGCAGGAAGCTCTGTCCTAGAGAACGTCCTTTCTTACCTGTTATTGCAAAACTGATTTCATCCCTGCATACTGAAGCACCACTGGATGAATTTCTTGCCCCTGTAGATAAACCTAGGGTGAGTATTGCCCTTTAAATGTCAGTAAATTTGTTTTAGCTTTGGGGGCAAACCTTGTTGTAGACTCATCTCCTCCCGGCGCAGTGTGTTAAGTCGTCAGAAGTAGGGCAGATCGAGGGTACAGCAGCTACTGCTGCGGAACAAACGGCAAGTAATGACCTCTCCTCTGCCTTCCTTTCTGCTTCCTTTTGACACCAGACATTTCTCTAGAGCTTGAATGGATCCTAGTCAAGTTAATTTTAAAAGTGGAGTCATCAGTGACTCCTGGGGCCGAGTGGGGTAAGTGGGGAAGATGGTACCTCCCGGCCCCTGCCAGGCAGGCATGTGCGCCCTTGGGGGCGGGGCGGCAGCCTGGGGAACTCCTGGGGGTCTGCAGGTATTGACTACGTTCTCGGCAAAGATGAAGACTGAGGTTGTGATGGAAAGATTTCTCAAGTTCTGCACAAGAGGTAGGATTGGCAGCATACATACCGACTCGATATTGGCAGTAGGACAGCAACTCTTCTGACTGTGGCCTCTTCTCCTTTGTTTTTCCTGAGTCTCAGTAGGGGAACACCTTTATGGTGTCACAACTATATACAGACTTTATTTGCTTATTGGTACTTTTCACCTGTACAATCGTCAGACAGTTCTCAGTGCCCCGTGCATCCTTGGACCCCTTGCCCTCCTCCGGGCGTCCAGGGCCCACGGGCTGGGAACCATTCCCTCAGCTGCTCCACTTCTGCAGAACCACGGGATCCCTGTTGTTGGAGGTGGGGGTTTGGTCTCCACATAGGAACATCTTTCAGGTGTTCCTATGGTGTGAGATCCCTTCCAGTTCTGGGAACTGGGTGCCTGAGGTGAGACCCAGGGGAGGATGGAGTCAGGGGAAGGCCTGCGAAGGCACATGGTAGTTTTTTAAGTCATTTAGGTATCTCTGTACTAAGCACACTGATAGGTCCTGCCTGACAAAAATCAATTTTGTGTGTTCCGTAAAATCCTCCACTTGGTTAGTTTATATCACATTGGGCAGTGTTGCCATGTTACCACAAACCCTCCCTTCTGCTAATTGTTTGCACAATTCCTATACTAATTTCTTTTTTCAATAAGGGTAACTTTAATAATCTTCCTATTTTGGATACAAACCAGAGTTGAGACTCTTACATAATGCTTGGCCCGACTTCCAAGAAAGCTGATGTTTTGCTCAAGCAAATGAAGTAATAATTGCTTGAAAATCTTGCTCTGATTTTACGTGGGAGGGCAGCTTTAATCTTTTTTCTCTCCCTAGTTCTGATGGTGTTTTTGATGAAAACCAAAAACACTAACCAAACTCATTTCTGAACTTTCTTCCACATATTGTCTAGTTTTATGTAATATCTTAACCTTCTGAAAGCAGATGAAACTGCTAAGTGAATTTTTGTCCATTGATTAGATAAAAATGACTCTAACCCATTCATTGCAGAATTACAGTTTCTGTGAATTTCGGTGCATTAATTTCTTAGACTGATACATATACACCATTGTCTCAAAGACAGTTGGAGCCCTTGGGGGTTTCTCTACCTTGTGTGAATCTGGAGGGACTACATGTTGGGAGTGGGGCGTTTGCCCAGGATGCCATAGCAACTTAAATAGCATTACTAAAAGAAACAAGTTTTTTCACAGAGAAACAGCTTCATCTAAGGCTCAGCCCTGACATGAATAAGGCATCTCACAGGACATTGTTCTTTAAGGGCATTAAATTCCATTTTGCTTGCCTGTACTTTTGAGGATCCCTGCACTCATGCTTCTCTTTTATTTCCTTTCTTCATTGCTTTTGTCTTTTTCATTACAATTCTCTGTCTTCCTGTATCTAATTCACTTTTTTAATTCGTTCACCCTGCATTTGGCAAGCATTTAGGTCCTGGGGCTACATAAATGCAGAAAACAGCCCCAAGCCTCAGAGTTGTTACATATTAAGAGGGAAACTAACCAACACACAGATCCTTTCACAGCAATGTGGTCATGCATGGTAGAAGCGTAAACAACTTGCTCCTTACATGGAGAATCTGAGGCCATCAGAAGCACGGTGGGGAAAACCGTATTTGAGTGCTTCATAGGTTCACAGATGTACTTGGAAGAGAGCCAGGTTCTTCACAGTACGATCCTTTAACTCTCAAAACTAAATCATGTAGGTATTCTCCCCACTTTGCAGATGAGCAAATAGGCTCAAAATGTAGCCCAGATCACACAGCTAGTTCGGTGTGGGGCGGGGGCGGGTGGCGCGCAGAGCCTGATGTACCAGTGGTGCTTCTTAACTAAGAGCCTGCCAGGCCCCCGCAGAGCTGGTTTCTAGTTTGATTACTTTAGCATGAGTAGTAAAGTATTACTTCACTTGAAGCCAGCCTTCAAGGATCCGTCCCCAAATGCTGGGGTCTGGCTAAGCCACGTTATTGGTGCAGAAGTCCCAGACCTTTCCACTTTGTGTGACTCCACGGTGGATTCAGCTTTGTGCTGCCTCGAGTTAGGAAAGGCTTTATCTAAAGGCATTTGGGCTGGTCCTGTGTAAAAGCTCTACGAGGAAGAAAGCGGGGAGGGGCGTTCCAAAGATAAGAATGGTTAATGAAGAAGCTGTGTCTTGCTAATAATGAGACAAGCCAGTGTGGTTGAAGGGAAACAGGCCCTTTTTGGAGCCCGACCTTGTTAGGCAGAGACATCTTTCTTTCAGAGTGGTATTTGCACGAGCACCCAGGTCTCTCAGGGTTGGGCTGAGAGTCACCAGTGAGCTGGATGGAGCTGCTCTGCCTGTGTCGGTAACGCGAACAACGGAAACTAATGATTTGAGGGTCTTTAGGGCACAGCAAACGGTTTGGAACCCAGCAGTCGCACAGCGTTGGGGGAGGTTGTTGATGAAGCTGGTGTTCGGTGGGGTTGTGAGTGGAGACACTGCCCCGATGGCGAGAGGGCATGGCAGGTCACGGACCTCAGGTGGCCGTCTCTGGCTGTAGTGTGGCAGGTCCTCTAGTGCAGGGCTGATGGCACCAGGGTGACCACCACCTACGAGGCTACAGCAGCAATTAGGGAACAAGATGGCAGGGTTGAGACTGAAGCTAAAGGGGAGAGGAGGGACCGGATGTGGTAACGTGGGGTAAGTTAAAAGTGGTGGTCAGGTGTAGGACTAAAAGAATTTTAGATACAGACCTTGGGGAGATGATGGTGTCCTTTGCTGAAATAGGGGAAGGGACAGAACGCTACCCTTCGCCTGGGTTTTTTTATTCTAGGTTTGTTTTTTCCTTTTTCTTTGATATTTTTTAGACCAGATTTAGGTTCACAGCAGATTTGAGAAGGCACAGATTTTTCCCTATGTCCCCTGCCCCCACTGCACAGCCGCCCCCATTATCAACACCCCCTCCTCCACAGTGGCCCCATTTGTTACAGCTGGGAAACCCACATGGACATCATGGTCACCCAGCGTCCACAGCTTACACCGGGGCTCACTCTCAGTGTTACACGTTCCATGGGTTCGGACAGCCCTGGGTTTCTGACAGGTGAGTTTGAGGGAGACCTGGAAGGAATCAGATAAAGATGTCCAGAACACAGAGATCAGGAGGGAGGTCAGGGCTGGAAATGAGAGATTGGAGATTCAGTTGTGTATGAAACCATGACAGTGGCTAGTGGGGTTGCAGGGCGCTGTGGTGTGAGCACAGCTGGACACGCGCCTGGCAAGTATATCCCCTGCAGTGAAATGAAAATAACGGCCAAGCCTGACAGAGGATGCATATTTTCAGTGTTTGGGAGCAAATAAAAGTGAAAAATTACACATTAGATGGGACTTGAGACAGTATGTGAGCCGAGTTATGGTATTAACTTACATCTTTATGGAAATGCTCTACTCTCAAGAGTGTGAAACTTCATGGCTATGACAAAAAACTGTTCTACTTGGAACTTAAATAGACCAATAATGAAAAATATGCATAAACGAACAAGGACAGGGCCGGACTTGACCTGTGGGCTGGTTTGCTGAGCCCCGGATCTAATTCATGAGAACATCATCATCATACCCTTGGCTGAATTCAGACTGCCTGCCTCCTCGTCGCCTAACAGGCCAACAGTTGGAGCCTAAGAACAATTGATCCTACTTGTGGTAACAGGAATACAAAGCCCTGCCAGTGTCAGTGTGTGCTGAGCGAGGGTCCCGCCTCCGGCAGTGCCGTGCACGCTGCACAGTGCAGGGCGCCCCCTCGTGAGCTCGGTGCGTCGACACAGGCTGCGCTTGGCTCCGCAGAAGTCTCTTCAGTAGGAAAGAAATCTTAGCCGCCAGAGAGCCTCCGATTGGGTGATGAGACCACTAAGTGCAACGCAGGCTGAAAACCGTGCACAGCTCTGCACCTTAACCACAGGAACGCGACCAACAAGTGTTTGAGGGCTGGTCGACTGGGCAAAGCAGTTCCAGAAATGGGCTGCTTTTAGGTGTTGGCATCCTCCGAGCTCTTTTAATTTCATTTGTATAATCTTCTGATCCTTGTTTTCTTTTGGTTTTCAGGGGTGCCCTGGAAGCTTATGTTCAATCAGTTAAAAGCAGAGAAGGCAAAGAATTTGCACCAGTTTATCCCATAATGGTTCAGCTGCTTCAAAAAGCTATGTCTGCTCTTCAGTAATAATGTGAAGTATTTCTTAATGTCCATTTTGTGCTAACCCATCCAAGGTTGGCAATTAAACTAACACACACTCTAAAGGACAGCTGCCATCTACTATTTTAAGAATGTAATTGAATTTTTTGTATTTCCTGTTGATCTTTGCTGTTTACCTCTGAAGCCCTTCTACCTTACGTAGCATAAAATGTCAAAACTGATTCATCATCACCACCTTCCAACTCTGTGGACCTGATTTTTTCCAGAAAGGTACCAAACTCTTGTGTCTCCTCTCAGGCTTTTCTGTGAGGCTATCTAAAACTTCTTTCCCATCACAGAGTCCCCGCTGCTTCTTAAGGGATTCGACCAACTTATAGTAAGTACACTGCTTCTCCCCAACTGGCATCCCTCCTCACTGGATAAGTAGGTAGCCCAGTGGTTTCCATATTTGGCTGCATATTAGACTCACTGGTAGAAGCTTTAAAAAACCCTGATGCCCAATTTGTACCCCTTATTAACACGTATGGGGGTAGAAGCCAAGCATTAGTATTTAAAAATATATATATCCTGAAGTGTTTCCAACATGCAACAAAGCTTGGGAACCACTGGCATATCCCAAAGCTAAGATGTAGGGCTAAATGTTGTTTAACTGTGTCTTACTGTATCTTTAATAAAGATAGAGCAAGGCTGTCTTTACACTCGTGTGTGTCATTTTATTAAAAACAGACTTTTGGGGCTGTTCAACTTTGTAACAGAGATGCCAAGTTAAAAATAACTTTTACTCTACAAGATTTCTTATAAATAGTAGGTAATCTAGGGCCTTAGCTTTCTATTGCCCTTGCTGTCATTAACATTTTATTTTAAATTTAATGTTTAAAATCCCATAAGCCACTTCTAAAATATTTTCCATCTCCTGAACCTGTTATTCTGATGACTCATTGGTAAAGTTCAGTCAGGATCAATCGGTGGAAGTCAGAGATAAACAATTTTTTTCATTTTATTTGAAATAATATACAAGAATATAGTGTGCAAAATTTAGGGGCAACATCATGAAGAAGTGTAATGAACTGAAATTCAATTTTACAGCTGTGATTCCTAACCAGAAACACCACTGGGTAAGTAACATGAAAAGCCATGATTGTAGCTCAGAGCATAAGCAGCTGTATTGCCATTGTGTTTGCTCTCACTGTAGACAGTTTGGAGGAAAGTAAAGTGCACGTGTTGCACTGCATAAGTGCAAAGTCTGCCCCCACCATAGAGATACGATGACAAATACGATATTAAGATATGTGGCTGAGGAGATACAGGACACAAAAGTTAAAAATACAATGGTGTCAACCGTTAACAGCACCATTACAGTGACTATACCCCAATGCTATTCACTAACTTTACCTTGGCCTGGGCTGTCTCCATCGAACAAGGGGTGGGTGCTGCCACCTGGCGCGTCCACTCAGCATGCTCCGGGAGCCGTGGCAGGTGGCTCTCAGGCTGTGACACTGACACCATCCACCTGCCCCCTGTTCCGGCAACCTCTTGGCACTGGCCAGACTAGGAGCCCCCCGTGTTTGGCACAGATGCTGAGCCATATGGTGGTTGCTCAAGGAAAGGCCAACTCCCGGCTTCTGCTTCACTCCATTACGTATACAATACAGATTAATAAGCAGTAAGGAGCCAATGTATAAACAGCAGTTACATATTTTTAAATTCCCCCTTTGTACAATTTAAAATAAAACATGTATACACTTCTCCTCTCTTTCTACTGTACTTTAGCACCACAGGATATCAATTTTCAAGCCTATATTACCTGATAGACATATATGAAGTTTGGAAGAAAATAAGGCAATTTGGTTTACAATGTTGATAGTTTTAGCTTACTTAATGCTCTAATGGAGAAAGCAAATCCTCACTCATATTATTAAATCAATCATTTCAAGACTCAATGCTATCAGTATCTTACGGTCACACGGATTCAGGACAAATGGTGAGACCTTGATCTTCTTAAGTCTTTCCATCAACAGTCAGTGTTTATGCAAATACAGACTTAAGAACATTAGCATCCTGGTTTAATGTTGTTGTGAGCCCTGTGGAGATAAAATAACTCAGTGAATGTTTACACATCAATACATAGCAATTCTACAAATGAAAGCTAAGATGGATAATATAATGTTAACAACCATACTATTAAAAAAAGATTGCTTTCTCAAAGGTGGTGATTTTTTTAAAGTCTGATAATACCTGATGGTCCAAGCATCCAGAAAATTTATGAAAATGCTGAGACAAGAGAGATCGACTAGGATGAGCAGACAGGAAAGGGGATCCAGGCCAAGTCCTACCACATGGAATCCTAAAGAACTTCAAAAATCTAGTTCAGTCACCCTCATACTGGAATCTGACTGCTGACTGCTGCTTTATAAGAAATTCTTACACAGATGAGAACCACATGTTACTATGCAGAAATAGACAAATACAGAGAATGAATTAGAACATCCTTGGCCAGCCCTCCTGCTGCGAAGTACTGATGCTCTCCCTTTGTCTTTAAATGGTATTTCAAATTGAGCTCATTCTGTTCTATCAATCATGTGATGTTTTCTTGTAATTAACCGAAAACACTTAAAAGATGCTAGTCTAGTAATGGAAAAGTTTTAACAATCAGGTCTATCCAATACAGCATTATTATGGTGCAAACTTGTTTACTAGCCTTCCCGGGCCTTTCTATTTCTTCTCCTTGCTGAGATTTTTAACCTAGAAATTCTGTGCAAATGTCAGAAGTCCCCACCTCCACAGCCCATCACCAATTAAGAAAAGAAGGCTGTTGAGACATACCACCCCAAATCAGAAAATTCCTCTCCTGTGATAGTAATGAGTTAATAAGCCCCATCTTTCAACCCAACCAGAAATACTCATTTCAGATTCTTCTACTTTAGCATCTCTAGCAAACATTCCTACTTTCCAAGCTATGAGAGTAAATGGCACTAATGACGAAAGGCAGCCTGCCTTATATGATGGTGTGCAAACATTACTTAGGTTCTGAAAGGTAAGAAGGCTGAGAAACAGCATCAACGCCCTTTTAAAGCTTCTAACAACCGCTCCAATACGCTAGTACAATTTTGGAGTTAAGTCAAGATCACTTTAAGCAACTACTTGTTGAAACATACTGAATTGGTTCTTTTCCTTTTCCAACAGTCAGGATTTAAACGTTTTTGTTCTTCAGCCAAAGCCTTTGCTTCTAATGTATACATTCTCCTCTCTTCATTCTTCATTTTCTTCCACCTGTCACCAAGGATCACACTTATGGCTCTGTAAAAGAAACATTTACACAGTGTTGAAAGCAAGAATTTTTCAGAAAACTCATGTCAAGTGCTGCTACTTTAGGAAGAAGTAGAAAGTTGAAAGACAAAAATCTCGTCCAACATAGAGAAGGAGAAAGGTCAAGACTACTGCACTCATTTCCAGTAAAATCTGAAGTCATGGTCCATTCATCGTAATCTTGGCAATTAAAGCCGCCTAGAATAGGGCCAATATCTAAAAGGGCTAAAAACTGGATATTTTACACAGCTTAGATTTGAAGAAAAAAGTTAAATATTTCAACGAAATGGTTTGTTTGAATTACCATTGGGTACATCGGTCTTCCAAAGATGTTTAAGATGATTAAGGCAGACAGTGTTTAATATCAGCAGCATAAAGTATTCACCTTGTATTGAAAGGTATTCTTACTTTCTGTTTGTGCCCATAACCCATCAAATAATCACGATAGCCTTTTTTCATTCATGCAACCGCCGTGAAAATGTGGTGGCGCTAACTATGCACACTTAGCACTTATCTCCAAAAACACCACCAAATAAACCTTAGGCCACATTTACACTTACTACTTAAGAAAACCGGATAAACTCAAAGGGGAAAAAGTCAAACTGGTAAGACCCATCATGATAGAAATTTGAAGCTGTTCCCTATTTATTAATTTGCTCCCAAAACTACTAAAATGGTCTCATCCAGAACAGGCAGACACAAACTGTTACCCTTTTGTGAAGAGCTTAACCCTCATTAACCCTTAATTTCATGACACTCATACGAAACAGGTGGTCTGGAATGACTGCATGAAGTACATACAAAAGATTTCACAATGGCTGACATGGAAGCTAGAAAACAGGCATCTGAGCTTTAGAACAGTCGCCACAGAAGCTCTACTTGAAAAGAAATTTAAAATGTAGTAAATGTATTTTTTAATCCAGTAAGTCGATGCAATTCAACATTGCACTGCATCTTCTTTTAGTAAAATAAAAACCAGTTTTTATAGTCTCCGAGTTAAAGGTACTATATAATGGTTGACACATTTACTAGTGAAATTGATTAAAAAGTATTCACATATGTATCAATTTCCAAGTCACAGATGCATCTGGTACAAGAAGCTTCTCTTTTTAAAATGGAAGTATTTGGGGTGGGCAGAATGGGTGAAGATGGTCAACAGGTACAAACTTCCAGTTTTAAGTGATGGAGCTGTAATGTACAGCAGGGTGAGTACAGTGAATAATACTGTGGTATATTTGAAAATTGCTAAGAACATAGATCTTAAAAGTTCCTATCACAAGAAAAAAAATTACTATGTATGGTGATGGATATTAGACTAGTTGTGATCATTTCTTAATATGTACAAATAGTAAATCATTATGTTGTGCACCTGAAACTAATATAATGTCATATGTCAATTATATCTCATGTATATATATATGTGTATATATATAAAAAGATCATGAGTCATTAAAACCGGAATTCAAAGCTGAATTATTTTATGTGCATAATCATTTGACTTTTCTCAGAATATCAAGGATTAAGGGAACTAAGAAGAATGGAGAAGATAATTTTAATTCGTGGAGAGCTTGGTTGGTTTGAGAGGAAGCGAGCAGTAGAGGATTCTAAGAGATGAGGTATGGGCACAAGCAAACAGTAGGAAGGACTCGCACTGTTAACTTTTATCCCTGGGCTCTAGTGAGGACCCCTCGTGGTCTTTTGACAAATCTAGCAGTCATTACAAACTGCCAATGCCTGCACATCCCATAGCATGACACAGTTGTAAAACAAGTACATCCTTGAGATCTGACACAAGAAGGTGCTAGTCTTTTCTGTAAAGATGGAACAGTCAATTGTTAGAACTGTGTCATCTAACAGGCAAGTGACATTTAATATTATTTTAGAAGGCAGATCCTTACCTCTTAGCTAACCTAATTATCTGTCTAGGTATTATGAAACAGTTACACATGACCCTAAAAATTCCACTTAAACATTTTACTTTAAAATCAACCTGGAAAACAGAATTCAATAATGAAAGCTATTGAATAACTTAACTGTCCCAGCTCCTCTGAACTGCACAGAAGTGTTACTGAATTGTTATAGTCAGAATTATCACTATTTTTACCTGTTATCTTTCCCTGGATACATCTGAGTATATTCAACTCTGTATTTTTTGGCAAAAAGCATGAAGGCATTCATTGGTCTTTTGCACTTGTTAGGAGAAGTGGCACTCACAGTCCCTGAGCTGTGGGTTTTGACAGCTTTAGCATACAAGGAATTGGAAGAGAGCTGTGAGGATCCCGGGGAGCCACAGTTTTTACTGAATCCAGATCTTTCAAAGTCTTGACCTCCAGGTCCTCCACAAGACAAAGATGCACGACGCTGACGAGCCATACTACTTAACACATAGACTGCAGAGGAATCCATAGGCGTGAAGTCATAGCTGTAAATAAATATATAAATTCATTAACAGGATTTTAATTCAGTATAGTTATCTGATTTGTGAAAACAGGATTAAAAAAAAAAAGACCCTTAAGATCTGATTGGAAATTTCAATGTATTTTACCTTAAATAATGTTACCAACACTACTTTAGCAACTTCACCATTGATAGTTGCTTGTAAGATGAAAGCTTATGTATGCATTTACTAAATTTATTTTTTTAATCTTAATACAAAATGTTTTTATAAAAGACTTCCAAGCCTCCCCACTTCAAAGGAATCTGTTACAATCCACATACTTTATTCATAGCAAACACCTTCTTCAGATCCCATACAACTCATTCCTACTTTAGATTCATTTTTTGACAAATTTGATAATCTAATTTGTTGACCTCTAGAAGCCTGAAACTACAAAATTAAAACAGAGTAGCAAGCGTATACCAGGCCTAAGGACTAACTACTACATAAGACAAGATGTTGGGTAAGGACAGATAGAAGTGGTTAAATGTAGCTAAAGAAACTTTAAATGCACAGTAGCCTGGGTCATCTGTTTACAATGACATGTGAATACAGTCATACATGCATTAGTCTCCCCTCAAGGCTATCCATATATTATAACATAGCCTAATAACTTAAAACCCCACATTGATCAGGAAAGGCCACATTTTGTTAGGTATGTTCAGTTTATATAGGTATATAAGCTTTCCATATCATCTCCTTTTCTCAACAAGCCTGCGTGGCGATTATCATTATCCTCTCTTTATATGAAGAAACAAGCTAAAAAAGTATTGTTCACCCAAGGCCTCACATCTACTAGCTCTCAACCCAGATCTGTTTGTCCAGCTCCAAAGCCCCAGGTTTCCTCATGAGTACCATGGTACTCTGCACTGCTGTTGGCAAACCTCAAGGTGAATAACCATCAGATTAATTGAAAACATCATCTGAAAATTAGAAATAACGTAGACCACAGCCTAAAAATATACCTGTCAAGAGAATTCTCTTGTTCCAACTCTGTTAACTTCACTGCTTACACTGGTAATCTCAGCAGAAAATCTTTTACTTCACCCCAACTCCTCTTTCTCTCCCTGAAACAGAGATTCTGGCAGTCCATCAACAGGTTGATAATAGCTACAGGAATAGTATCCGCCTACAGGTGAAGCAATGTGCGATTATGAATGATTCTGACATACAGAGAGCTACCTGAGTGAGGTGCACGCCATTCACTGCACACAGTAAAAATGACTTTTACCAATTATCAACCACACAACATCTGCTTTTTTACAGGTATTACATGAAATAAGTGTACTTACAAGTATGACTCCAAAATCATCCAATAAATGCTTAGCAATCAGTATTATGCCAGAGAAATAATTTTTGCTATCTTAAGCCCCTCTCATATGTAATTTAGAAAAATAGCAAACTTAAGCATTTGTAAATGAACCTGACACAAAATTATTAATTTCTACTGCAGGAAAATAATTATAATTTGAAATACCGAAAGATTTAAAAATAGGGTAAGCTAATTGCCTACTGAAATTTGAAAACTCCACCATCTAGTGGTACAAATATAACCGTCATCCATTTCCATTATGGATACAATTTAAAGTAGCTTGAAATATTCAATCACAGAATTCAGATTTTTGACATGACTACAGCATTATATTACATAAAATATCTTTTTAAAAGAGCTTAATTTTTTGCTATACTGAGCATTCGCTCTCTTTGCTATCTGTTCCTAAAATGTGCCTTATTTCACCTCACTTTTTTTCTACATGCCATTCCTCGAGCTTAGGATGCCCCTTTCCACCGTCATTGTCTATTGCTCTTAAAGAAAAAGTACAATAGTTTAGTGTCTATTAACTGAATCAGAAATACTAACTCACTTAACCCTCCCTTCGATATGATCCTCATTTTACAGCTTTTTTCTTTGTTTTGAAGACCATGGAAAAATTAACTTACCCCAGTTTCCGCAGCAAAGCTATCACAGAGCCCGGCTGTGAATCCAGGCAGTCTGCTGCAGAGCTGTGTTGCTTACCAGGCTACACTGCCTCCCAACCAGCACCTACACATGGTACACACGGCCTCATCCATTCCCTTCTCTAGGCTGGAAGCAAAGAGGCAGGCCTATGTCTTAACTGATCTTCAATCCCCAGTGCCAGCACATATTAGGCTCTCAACATGACTGACAACTGACCGAGAGGGTAAAATAAATCACTCTGGAGAACGTAATAATATAAAATTTTAATTGGGCTCATAGCCCGTCTCTGCCACTTACTAATGGTATGAGCTTGGGCAGGTAACCCTCTAGCCTCAGTTTACTTAGCTCTGAAAAGAAGATAATATTTGCTATGCAGTGTTGCACAGCTGGCAGAACAGACTGTATAAAACACTTAAGGCAGAGGCGAGCACACAGCAGGTACTCAACTGGGGTATCAATTATTATTGTAGAAGTAGTCTAGATTGGTAAAGTGACTGTCCTAAACCTGCCTGATGCCTAGAAGATTGGCCTCAATACCCAATGTCTCAAATGGGCTTCTTCAACTCAAGCTCTCACCTGGAAGCTTCCTTTCTACAATAGAGCCACCTACTGTGTTTAAGAGCTCATCCATCAGTTTATTGCTGACTTCTTCTGGTCCTCAGCAAGCTAACATCTACTCCAGTGCCCTTCCTAGACCAGCATGACCCAAGATCACCTACTGTGTGCCAGCTGGATACTATAATTTCTAGTCCTCACAACAAGGAGCAGAGTTAGGCAGGTGTTATCACCTCCATTTTACAGTTAAAACACTGAGGCTTGCATTTGCAGCAACATGGATGGGCCTAGAGATTATCTTACTAAGCAAAGTAAGTCAAAAAGACAACCATATGATCTAAAATGTGACAGGGAATTCCCTGGTGGTCCAGTGGTTAGGACTCCGTGATTTCACTATCAAGGGCCTGAGTTCAATCCCTGATCGGGGAACTAAGATCCTGCAAGCCACGTGATGCAGCCAAAATAAATAAATAAAAAATAATACTAAAATAAGATAAAATATGACACAAATGAACATATCTATGAAACAGAAACAGACTCAAAGACACAGAGAACAGACCTGTGGTTGCCAGGGAAGAGGAAGAGTGGGGGAGGGAGTGAGTGGCAGTGTGGGATGAGCAGATGCAAACTACTGATGATATACACAGGATGGATAGACACAAGGTCCTACTGTACAGCACAGGGAACTATATTCAATATCCTGTGATAAACCATAATGGAAAAGAATATGAAAAAGAATATATGTATAATAAAAATTTTAAAATAACAAGGAAACGATATTTCTAATATCACTAAAGTTCTACATTTGTCACCCCCAGAGGTAACCATTCTCCTGAACTGTTAATCATTCCCTTAATTTCCCAACAATTTTATTATAAAACTCATTCATAAACACGATAGAAACTACAGTGACATTAATTATGTTAAAATAGCAATTATATTAACATGTTACATAATGTTTCATTGTGCAGAAATGAATTAACGTTGCAGGCTTGCTGTCCTTTCAAAGGGTTACTTACAGGCTGGCCCTTGACTAGCATCTGGAACTTGGATTTCGGGAGGGTTCCCATCATACCCACAACTGATAAGAGTGGCTCACTGTTCCTAAACTGTATGTACAAAAAATACGGTTTACCCTAAACACCTGCTTTCCTTTTGGAAGCTTTTGGTATATGCCAGGCAGAGGCAGCCTATGCAACCAGCTCCCAATAAAACCCCTGGTGCTGCGTGTCTAATAAGCCTCCCGGTAGATAATGATTCACACGTGTTGTAGCTCACTGCTGGGGGAAATAAGCTTGTCCTGTGTGACTCCACCGGGAGAGGACTCACTGGAAGCCTGGCTTCCCCCGACTTAAGCCCACGTCTTTCCTGTTCACGACTTTGCTTCATATCTTTTCAATGTAAGATATCATAGCTGTGCATATGACTACTAAATCCTGTGAGCCCTCCCAGTAAATCACTGAACCTGGGGGTGACCTTAAGGGTCCCTGGCGTAACTGTATAATGTGTATTTTACATACTATAGAAAGATTATATAAATGTAATTAGATTTATAATTTTATTAGATATATTTCCAAAGAACATCTGATTCCAGACTAATTTTTACTTAACATTATTTCTAAAGATCCATGTTTTAAAATGTATGGCTACGGTTCATTCAACTTCCACTGACAAAAAGAATTCTACTGTATGATTGTACCACACTATATGCATTCAGTCTCCAGTGAATGAGTACTGATACTGTTTCCACGTCATAAGCAACACAGCTTGAACTTTACACATCGCCTAGTGCATGTCTACAAGCATTTACTTCTCTATGGTGTACATACAGAGGAATGGAACTGCCGATATTCACTGGTAGACAATAAAGGTATCTTCCAAAATTTTTTTATCCATTTACACTCTCACCAAACATTAGAGGTATCACGGATCTAAATCCTAAGAATACTCTGAGTACTGGACCTTAACAATGTTGTTTTTCAAAAAAGACTGTATAAAAGAGAGTCAAACAGCATTTAGATTCCAATCTTGCAGATGTTTGTTGAGCATATAGCCTGTGCCAGGCCCTGTGCTGGTTGATTTTTTTTAATGTTTTTAAAAAATAGTCTCACTTGGGCTTCCCTGGTGGCGCAGTGGTTGAGAGTCCGCCTGCCGATGCAGGCGACACGGGTTCGTGCCCCGGTCCGGGAAGATCCCACATGCCGCGGAGCGGCTGGGCCCATGAGCCATGGCCACTGAGCCTGCGCTCCGCAACGGGGAGAGGCCACAACAGTGAGAGGCCCGCGTACCGCAAAAAAAAAAAAAAAAAAAAAAAAGTCTCACTTGTGCTTTCAAAATAAAAAAACATATTAACCTTTTATTTTATTATATTAAACTGAATTTATTTAAAATCTTCAGGCCAGCAGAAATTCTTGAAAATTCTCTACTTAAACGCCTATGGATTTGATAATTATCTTAAAGAATGGGTCTTGGGGCTTTCCTGGGCGCAGTGGTTAAGAATCCGCCTACCAATACAGGGGACACGGGTTTGAGTGCTGGTCTGGGAAGATCCCACATGCCGCGGAGCAACTAAGCCCGTGCGCCACAACTACTGAGCCTGCGCTCTAGAGCCTGTGAGCCACAACTACTGAGCCCGTGTGCTACAACTACTGAAGGCTGCATGCCTAGAGCCCATGCTCCGCAACAAGAGAAGCCACTGCACCGCAATGAAGAGTAGCCCCTGCTCGCTGCAACTAGAGAATGCCCACGCACAGCAACAAAGACCCAACGCAGCCAAAACTAAATAAATAAAAGCTAACTTTTTTTCAAAAAGAAGAAAGAATGGGTCTTAAAATCCCAGATATCATATACTTTCCCTGGGTTCCTTCTGGGAGGAGGGTGACCAACTGCCCCTATTTTCCCAGGACTGAAGGGTTTCCAGTGGTGCAGGACTTTCAGTGCTAAAACCAGAAAAGTTCTGCACAAATTCAGACAGTTGGTCAACTTTCTTGAATGTCAGCACACATGGGTCCTTGTCCTATTCTACCACTTACTAATAGGGTGATCTCAGGAAAAATCACTTTCCTCTTTAAGTCTTTCCAAATGTCAACTTTTTGCTGTTTTTACAATTTTTAATCCATGCAACTAATGCCCTTGGTCAAAATGAATAGTAAACGAAGACACAGTTAGCTAAATAAAAAGAAAGATACAATTAACAGACTTACGGTCTGGTTCAAAACAACTGGCCAGATTTAGCAAATTTTTCTTTTCTTAACTATCAAAGATGATCTATTTAATTCCTAGACATATAATGTGGTATTTTCCTAATCTTAAATGTTTTATGAAGTCACTTTTCCTACATGACTACTCCATGTAAAAGTCTTTTTTTTTTTTTTGAAGTATAGTTGATTTACAATATTGTGTTAGTTACTGGTATACAGCAAAGCGATTCACTTATATATATATATATTTAATATACATATTCTTTTTCAGATTTCTGTCCTTTATAGTTTATTACATACTACCCTGTACTATACAGCAGGACCTTGTTGTTTATCTATTATATATATAGTAATTTATATATTAGTATCTGTTAATCCCAAACTCCTAATTTATCCCTCCCTACTCCCCCTTTCCCCTTAGGTAACTATAAGTCTGTTTTCTATTTCTGTGAGTCTAATTCTGTTTTGTAAATAAGTTCATTTGCATCATTTTTTAGATTCCACATATAAGTGATGATATATGGTATTTGTCTTTCTCTGACTCACCCCACTTAGTATGATAATCTCTAGGTCCATCCATGTTGCTGCAAATGGCATTATTTCATTCTTCGTAAAACTCCTCGAGGGACTTCCCTGGTGGTGCAGTGGTTAAGAATCTGCCTGCCAATGCAGGGGACACAGGTTCGAGCCCTGGTCTGGGAAGATCTCACATGCCGAGGAGCAACTAAGCCCGTGCGCCACTACTACTGAACCTGCGCTCTAGAGCCTGCGAGCCACAACTACTGAACCTGCGTGCCACAACTACTGAGCCTGCGCTCTAGAGCCCGCAAGCCACAACTACTGAGCCCACGCACCTACAGCCCGTGCTCCACAACAAGAGAAGCCACCACAATGAGAAGCCCATGCACCACAAGGAAGGGTAGCCCCTGCTCGCCACAACGAGAGAAAGTCCACATGCAGCAACGAAGACCCAACTCAGCCAAAAATAAATTAATTAAAAAACTCGAACTATATTATTTTACTTTAATTACCAAGTTTTTTTTTCATTTATTCATATACAATTGACCCTTGAACACTGTGCGTTTGAACTGCATGGGTCCACTTACACATGGATTTTTTTCAATAGTAAATACTACTCAGTCCACGGTTGGTTGAATCTGCCTACACAAAGGGCTGGCTGTAAGTTATATGTGGATTTTCAACTGTGTAGAGGGGTCAGTGCCCCTAACCCCTGTGTTGTTCAAGGGTCAACTGTACATCCCTCTTCTAAGTAGTCCTTTTATAATTCTCAGATCTTTAAAGGTTTAACCTCCTAAACAGCAATCATTAGGGAGATTAAGAGTAAACTTTAATTTTTTTTTCAGAGAGAGAAAAAAAGGAATTCAATATTACCTTTTAAATGTATCAAAAACACCTGAATCATCAAAATTAATGGCATCGGGGTGTCCAGGAGGTAGACATACATCACCAACATGAATTTCACAACATGGAATGCCATGCTGTACCACAGTCAAGCTTGGATAAAATGATGACCAACCTAAAGTTAAAGCAAACTATTGTTACATAAAGGATGGAGATTGACAGAAAGCATCCAAATTATTTATTATATGATAGCTATGTCACTTCTGAGTCTTAAAAAAGTATGTCATAGATTTATAACACAAGTCATATATCTTTGCCACAAAGCAAATCCAAGTGTTTTATTTAAGCAATGCAAAAGCGCTCCAAAACTAGTTTAACTCAGCATTTTACTAGTATATCAAATTCTATCAATCAGCACTTCCATTGACCTACAAGATAGTAAATGATAAATGATGATGGAGACCATGAAATAGTCTCTGAATCATTACGTTTGACAGTGTTAATGTGATTCAGGTGTAAAGCATATTTGGCCTCAACCAAACTTCAATTACCAGAATACTCCATTCCCCAAACTATATCAAAACAACAGAGAGCTTATTATAGTATGCTACATGAATCTACAAGTTCATACCCACAGGAAGTAGAGCTCCACCTGACTACTGCTAAGACATTTAAACATCATTAGGTATTATTATAAGGCATTTCCTATGGTAGTTTTATTTAGTTTGAAAGAAGTTTTCCCTTCAAAACGTTTTTTCTTAATCATCAAATAATTATGCCACAAGACATAAGTATAGATTTAAGAAGCTTTCTTTAAAAAGTTACTACAAATTGAAAATTGAAGCCCTACCTTTATTTTTAACATAGAAAGGGTGGTCCAGTTTACACTCTACAGTAAGTAAGCCATCTTCGACTGTACCAGGATCAAAAGTCAACTTCAGTACAGACTCGCCAAATGATATACTTTCTTCATGTGATAACAACTTTAGACCATCAGAACCATAGCCCTGGAAATACATGCATAGAGTAAATAAATTGGCAATGTTCAACTCAACATGAAGTTCCTATTATGTGTAAGACTTTGTGGAAAAGGTAAAAATAAACACAGGATCCTTCCCATTAAGCAGCTTTCGATCCAGTAGCGAAGAAAGGCAGATATTACTACAATATAAAGCTGACTGGAATAAGTGCTTTAATCCAAGTACAAATAATGCTAATGGAGTTTAATAAAGGGAGATATTAACTCCAAGAGAAAAAGATTGGGGGGGGCTTTCAATTCCCATTTGAACTGGAATCTAAAAGGAGAATGCAATTTAGAAAGGTACAAGAACCTGCCTTACACCAGGAATAGTTGTGACTAATAACTTCTTTGGAGAGTGCTGAGTATCTGCTAAAAATACAAGATTAGTTCAGAGTTGGGGCAAATAAGACTGCAAAGGAGGGCCCAGTTAGTAAGTAAGTAAAGGGGTCTTAAAGACAGGCAAAATGCTTAAACTTTCCTTTGAGAAGGTACTGGGAAGTCAATGAAAATATTTTTATTAATATAATTGTTGATTTTAAGATGATGACAAAGACTACAGATGAAAGGTACCTCTAGTATTCAACTTATTTGAAGATATAACGAGAGAACCCCATTACAGTCTTGAACTGACAAGTGCAGTGGTGGTAGAACTGGGCTGAATTTAAATTCAATCAATATTTATTGAGCACTTAGTACATGCCAGGTGCTAGCCTCTGAAAACACATGATCCCTACCCTTAAATTCACAGAAAAACAAAGGAGACAGACATGCCAACAGCTAGCTACAGTGTCCAGTCAAAGTAACTAATGAAAGAAAAGGATAAATGTAAAAAATCTTTAAGGAAACAGAATGGATCAACTGAATACAAAGAGAGGAAACAGTCAACTTCATTCATGTTTTGAATGAAGCAATCAAGAAAAGGTTTTGAGGACTTCCCTGGTGGTCCAGTGGTTATGAATCTGCCTTCCAATGCAGGGAACACGCGTTCGATCCCTGGTCAGGGAACTAAGATCCCACATCCTGCAGTGCAACTAAGCCCGCGCGCTCTGGAGCCCACGCGCCACAACTAGAGAGAAGCCCGCGCGATGCAACGAAGAGCCCACGTGCTGCAACACAGCCAAATAAATACATAAATATTAAAAAAAAAAGAAAGAAAGAAAGAAAGAAAGGTCTTGAATCTGGCAATCAAGAAAGGGTAGTAATACTCTTAAAAGGGGAAAAATGGACCTGGATGGGGAAGAAAAAGGTGAATCCAGTGTTGGCTATACTAGTAACTAGATTACAGAATCTTCTAATTCTTAGAGCTGTAAGAATTTAAAGCTAATCCCAGTTCCGTCTTACAGATCAGGAAGGCAATACCCAGTGCGGTTGATAGACTGCCCAAGGGCAGTCATACAAATAGCTGCTGGCAGAGCCAGAAACAGCCCAGCTTTCCTGACTCCAAGAAAGACCAAAGCAGTTTCCACAGACCACCAAGGAGCTGCTGTCGACATTATCATCAGAGAAAAAGTGGTGAAGAGAGTGAGGAAGGGTAGAACCTTATTAACATTCAACATCTTGGGCAGACAAGCCACCAGTCCAAACAGACAAGACATCAGAAGGAGAAGCAGGGCACTGCCATGCTACGCAAATCAAGGGTAGACAATCCACTATGTCAAACACTGCAGAAATGTCAAAAAGAACAAGCAGAAGTCTCTTTAGCAATCAAAATAAAACTAGTAACCTTTGAGACGATTTTAGTAGAGCAGCAGAGGCTGAAGTCGGACTACGGTGAACTTCACTATGTAATGCTTACAGCAAGAAGGGGAGACTGAAGGCCGCCAAGTCAGGACTGCTGTTCTCAAGAGACTCACTAGTAGGGGACAGCAGGCGCAGAACAGGAATTTTACACAAGCACACTTCACATGCCCAATTTCTCTGCCCACAATGAAGATGGAGAAATTGAAGATTTCAAAGATAAAGGTTTCATCCAACATTTATCCTACTGCTTGCTGCCCACTACTGCCTTTGCTTATCGACTTAGAAAACACCAGCATTTTAATGGGTCATTTTAAATGTAACTCAATCAATTCTCACTTATCCATAGGAGAATTAACCACTTTGTAGATTACCTAAGGTAAGGCTTTGGTTTATTTATTCATTTTGTGTTTAATGCCAGTTTAATTTTCCCCAAAATAAAATGTGTAAAAAGTGCTAAGAAATACACTCTTGTTTCCATCTAAGAAAGCTTCATTATAAAGGTAAAACCTAAAGTCGCTTCTCCTCTCCATCGGGCTAAGCAACAGAGGAGTCACAGGAGCTCCTCCCAAAATGTCAAATGTCATTTAAACATGGAAGCAAATGGGAGGATACACCTGCAGATTAATAACAAACCTATGTTCCCTTTTGAAAGACTTGTAAAAGTTTTAAGGATTTTAAATCAACCTTGTGAGTGCCCATCTGGAGATCTTCCTCATTATCGCAGCCTTCGGTTCTAGCAAAATCTTCCACATCCTGCCATTCCTTATTGCTTCCCTTATGAAAACACAGTCGTGTGCCTACAGTTTAAGTAAAAAACAAGTATTAGATATGTGACTACTGTGCTTGCTACACAAATAAACTGTAAAGAATTCAAGCATTTTTTACCTTTCAAAAAACAGTGCCAAGCAGTCGAAGGCCAGGAATTGCACCACCCCAAGTCGTCATCATCCGAGAGGGAGGACATGCAGAAAATGCCAGATTCTGACTCACTGCTTGCCTGTGGAAAAAATATTGCAAACTTTCTAGGTTTTCTTTTGTAAGATGTATTTTTTAAATCTGTGTCTTCAGACTATCTATCTATCTAGCTACCTACCTACCTAGCTACCTACCTACCTAGCTACCTAGCTAGCTGGTTAGCTATGCCGGGTCTTAGCTGTAGCATGCTGGATCTAGCTCCCCGACCAGAGATCGAACCCAGGCTTCCTGCATTGGGAGCACAGTCTTAACCGCTGGATGGCCAGGGAAGTCCTGAGACTTTCTTATTAGTGGATAACTTAATCATTCTAAACTTAGGGAGAAAAATCGCCTTCGAAAACTGAAGCTCTGGGAAGTTTTAGTTAAATGCATGTTCCCACTGGTAACAAACTTTCCTAACAGTTAATAGAGCTGTACATATAACTGAATCCAGATCAGCAGGAGAACAGCGAGAGAGACTATTTCCCATCTGCATGTGCTTCAGAAGAACTGCTTAGAGAGGGAAAGTTCATTTTTTTCAGCTGCTGTACAGATTTCATAAAGTTTAACCTCATGAATAAACTTACCCTTTCATGTCTGACTGGTGTTTGCTCCTTCCAGTGGTGATGAGCGAAGGCTGGCCCACCCTTAGAAGAGGACACCGGTGGAGGGCGCGCATAGGAATGTAAACTTTTGCTAGTAGCTATGATGTGTACAGGAGATGATCTAAAAGAAAGAAACTGTTTTAACCACAAAGCAAAGGTCCTTAAAGTAAAGCTTTCCTTTTGGTGAACTTCATATTCATAACACCAATGTTATTACATATAAGACACCTATGGGAAACACTAATAAAGACATCAGGGTTTCGTCTATAGTATGTTGTTCCTTAACATCTTACCCAAACCCTCTTCACACATTTTAAACACTGTTTTTTTCAGATTAGATAATATACTTTAAATTCCAAACTACTGTTTCATTTACTCATTCACTCATTTTTATATCACTAAGCACATACAAGTGTGCAGTTTCATTCATGAAGGATGATACCCCCTTATGCAGGGCTCCCGATCCCTTTCTCTCTCCTACTGTGATGTGGACACCAAATCTCGGCCCTCCAAGCTCAACGTGACCAACACGGAACTCTTTATCTACCAACCACCTGTATCACTGGGCAGATACAGTGAACTACCTGAAGCTAAAATGTTTAAACTTATTATAGTAGAAAACAGCCTATTTGCAAAGCGTCTACACATAAAGTCAGCTACTTCTGCACCAGGATCACCTTAAAAAAGTAAGTTACCTCTTGCCCCGCTTTCCTGTCAAAAGTCTCTTTACCAGGCAGTGCTCCCTTCAGAGTACACGGGGCTCCCCAGAACACACTAAGATCTTTCCCCCACAAACATATAAGAGGGGTAACAGCAGCAAGCCCATAAAGGACGGCCAGTAAGGTATACTGACTCGGGAGTCTGGAAAGCATCAGAAAGGAAAATTTCGGGGTCTAAGAAGTAAATCTGAATTGTCCCAAATCAGGACAATTCTGAGATGCCAACTAAGGATTTGGTCCTTAACAGAAAAATGTTTACACGTATCTGTACTAATCCTCTTTCTAAAAAGAGGAGGGACATCTTACTTTCCAATTCTTCCCTTATTCTCTGAGAAATCTGATTAGCCCTCATTTTTTTAAACTTAACATTTTTTATTATACCTTCGCAGAAATCAATTTTTAAACGAGGATCCATATATAAAACTGTACGTTGCTTTCACGTTCATAACACTTCTTAAGTAAAAAGCCCTCAAATTTCCATGCATTTTAGCTTACTCTCCAATCAACTTTGGATTTCAAAATACAAATAATATTTCATCTTTGCCCAATTTCTTCCTTTTATTACACATTTACATCTTTATGAAGTATAAGAGGATGGCCAAACTGCTAAAAATTCCTTAAACTCATTCCTGCCTTCGTGACTAGTAAAAGAAAATGGGTTTATCAGTTCTTCTGTTTAACCATTTAAAAGACAAATAACAATGTAATGTTCTAAAATGTATATGGCCTAAATGTTCTGTAAAAATTAATATGCTGCATGTGCCTGAATCACTAACACCATGGTCTCTTCATCCCTCTATCTATGCAGGGATAACACAAATTTTACCTGTCCTCAAGCCCTTGGTACTGTACAGTTACAACTTCAGACATCCCAAGTTCAATAACTAACACAGTTTAACACTCTACAAGAAGTCACGAGAACAGCACTGACTGTCAGAAGGCAGGCAAGACGGTAGAGTGCGACCCTTGCTCTTGTTCCCTAGGGAGAAGGGAAGCATAGAAAATGCCAGAGAGTAATCTACATCTTTAGGGAGCTACTCCTTTACTTGTTTTTTTTTTTAATATTAATTTTCTTCTGAGGGTTTTACTCAACTTTCCATGAACTAAATTATTAATCCTCATGAGCTTACTGTGAAAAATGAAAAGTACTATCTCTAAACTAAAATCGGGGAAAAAAGAAAGTCCAATAGTAAAATCAGGGTTTTTTTTTTAATTGTAAAGCAATTTTTCACTTTTTGACTATTAAGATTACAATGAAAACTGGGACAATAAAGGAAGTAATACTTTGAAAGGCAACTTTTCATTCTTGTGGAACTCTTCATGGGTTAAACTGAAGTTAATTAAATTGAATTTGCTCTAATCAAAACCAATGACCTTGCTGAATAGAAGAAAAACAGCATAACTTGCTGGGCTTCACACCTAACAAGTTTATTCTTTAGCAAAGAACTATACTAACTTAGGAACACTACCAAAATTCAGTTATTCCTACATCACCTATTATGGACTCTGGTCTCTCACATGAGTGCAAACCTGGGTATTTCTCTTCCCTACAAACTATCATATTTATCTATGTCTTTTTACATAGCCAATTTTATAATTTGGGGGATAATTAATAAAATATTATCCATTTAGGTATCTCTAGGAATATTAGTTGGAAGCTTCCATAATTTCATAGCACCATTAATTCATTTTCTTAAACTCTGGTCTGGTTATATGAAACAGTGGTTTCTACCAATGGGAGTCTACTTTTGTAAGTTCAACATTTTAATATTAGCAAACATATAAATAACATAAGGCCACATACACTGTGGAAAAAAATAAACCTAGACCAAAAGGAACCAAACTCAAGGTTGATAAAAGTTTAAAATATGTCTATTTTAATTATGATTCCTTAGACATATATAATTTTCATCTCTCTAAGTAGAAATATATAATAAAAGTATTCTTGGTCTGATGTATTTTTTTGATGACTTTAAACCATTTACAAATATTTTTGACTCTGCTGTTCTCTTATCACTTTTATCTAATTCTCAAAATATGAAACCATGACATTGGGTGAAACAGCTCTTTGATTATTTTAAGACAAAGAGCTTAATTCTAATGACTTTGATAAACCACTCACGAGATGGTCAAGATTACTTTTAACTCTAGAAAAAAAAAGCATTTTGTCATGATAAAAGTTTTCAATTAAAATACAGCCAATGTTCCCACCTGTTGTAAAATGAGCACTGCATAAGTGGACTTTGTGGACTGGTGGCGATATTTGCTAATTCTGTTAGCCAATCCACCTCATTTTCACGGTAAGTGTTTTCTGATATTTCTGAGGTATTTTGGTTCCAAGATGGTCTTGGATATTCTTGATGTGACACATCTGAACTTAGCTGGTATATGGCAGATTGAGTAGGATCACTCTGAACAGCCTGAAGTTCAGGAAGATCATCTGCAAATAAGCACACTCGAAATTATAAGAAGGAAATTACTAATACAGGGAACAATTCTACAATCACACCTGGAAGAGAGGTCCTCAAATTTAGCTAATTAATTTTGTGAGAGGAAACGTGTAAATTCTAAATGTTTTCTTGAATGAAAACAAGTTTCAACTGAAAAAAAAAATGACATCTTATACATTTAAGGGCCAACAGAGTCTGACAGAAAAGTAAACCTAGCAAATGTAAATGGATTAATGACTTCACTACTCAAACCATGTAACTACCACAACTGTTCACCAACTGTTCTGTTTGTGTTTTCTGACTTTTCCCCCCAGTTTTTTATAGCTCACCTGGGAATAATCCATATACCACTGAGACATTTTTATGTTAACATGTTAGAGGAAAAAGGCGTTTTATGGGTACACAGATGTACTTATTGTTCACACACTTGAACCTGTTCAACAAGATTACTGCAATAAATGAAAACAATTTTCAAAGATGAAACCTAGATCATATTATATATTTTCAGGTACTACTTGTTAGACTTTATCTATGCTAAATTATTTCTTTTTAATGAGAAAGTCTGAACTCAGTACTATTACTTATTTCTTTCCAGAAAGTGTGTTCCCGAAAGGTAGTTCATGACAGACTCTCAGCTACCCAAGAAAGAAAACTAGAAATAGTACCCAAGGACCACTCATGTACATGCCAAGGCTATGAACACTGTAAGGTAGACTGAATTCTAAAAAATTGAATTAAAAATTAAAGAAAAAGAAAGGAGGGGAGAAAAAGCATCTTGCAGGCCTTAAAAAAGAAAAACCACCACCAAAACAACCCTCTTTGAAACACATACCTACAAACTCTACAGATCCACTGGGTCTCTTCAATATATGTCAAAAAACTCTTCCAGTCTTGAGAGTTCTCCTAAACTGTCACTATAAAAGTACATACTCCTAATTCCTATTCAGGGGAATATCCCAGAATAGCTCACTAAAACAGAAATGTCTTACAAGTACTGATTCAAGACACCTATTCATAAAAGTGACTAGAAGGTATCCCCCCCTTCACAGAGCAGCTAAAATATCACACCAACTTAAGACAATTCCACTCTGTAATTCTCATGGTGGTGGAGCCGTTTCCCTTCCCTCACTGCCAACACTGTTCTTTGACTATCTTTATTTACTGTAAAGGGTTCATTTCTGTCTTTCAAGTTACAGAAACTACTTCTAAACTGAAGTCATGAGGGGTGGTACAAGTTTTTGACCCCCGGAGCCCTAGGTTCCTGATTTCCTCCTGAAACCTAAAATGTGACAATGGAGGAATCAACTACCTGATTGAACTGGGGCTTCTTGCTCAATAGTAACCACTCCTCAATGAATATTCAGGCCCAGCAATCTCTTAGCATTCAAACAGGTTATGTCCCAAGACCTTTAAGATCTCCAAATTCTCAAAGAAGACTCCAGCATATAACCTCCTCTACTTCATCATTTATAAAATGAGGACATTCACATCTCAGGTTTTTGGGAACATCAGAGAGAAATACATATTAAATGGGAACAAAGCCAAGATGAAAAGTTGGCAGTAAGCCAAGATCACTCTTCACCAGTTCACTGTCTCCAACAGCGAGCGCAAAGCAATACGATTCAAAGTCATACCTCAACAAACCTACACACTTCTACAGGTCACGTATCTTTGGAGTAGCTCAGCAGTAGTGATAATCACAAATGTCAGATCCTCATATTTCAAGGGTCCACTGTAATTTCCCCATCATACCAACAAACCAGGCGTGAATAGTGGCCAGCATAGTTTGCTGAGCTCACATGGATATTTCAAAAGTAACATCTTTTGAAAAGCCACACAGTAAGGTTTTCATAAGGTGTTCAAAGGCTCATCTTTATCCACAAAGGCAGTTTAGTTTGAAAATTTGTAAATGAGTCTCTATGATAACCATAAATAGCCTCAAGTTAGGTTGGTTTTAAGTAATACTTCACAAGCAATAATAAGAGAACACTGAAAACTTCTGATGTACAAAAACTTGACATACTTTTTATCAGTTCAAGGTAGGTGGAAAAGCTAGCTAAACATGAAAATTAATCTGAATCTCAGTGAGATTCCTAAGAACTTCATTTTGTTTACCAAGCTCCATGTGCTCATCACAAGAGTTGTATCCAGGTGAGGATGGCAAATTTTCATTACACTGCAGCAACTCCAATGAGTCATTCATTCCTGAAGCTCTCTTGTCCATTACTAGCAGGAGTTTCTGTACTGCATTAGGCACCTGATTTGTCTTCACTTCCCACACCATGTTATGGTGCTCCGACTTAAAAATAATATAAGAAAAAAATGTCAAGTCATGTGATTTGGAAATAATGTAAGTATAAAATAATGTAAGTATAAAGTCAATCAGAGACATCACAATGTTGTATCTTTAATCACACACTGCTATCTGTATCCCCCTCAAAACCTTTAGACATGGATGACTGAAGGTCTATTCTATTTTGCACATTTTTTGGAAGATTCTATTTTAATTTCTCTAGTATTTATCAACTATGTTCATTATTTTGTTTTCTCATCTTCTGAAAGTGAACAAGTTTAACGAACTTAAAATTACAGTCTCTAATGAATATTTTTAAAAGTTTCTTGGGACTTCCCCGGCAGTCCAGTGGTTAAGACTCCGGACTTCCACTGCAGCGGTCGCGGGTTCGATCCCTGGCGAGGGAACTAAAATCCCTCAAGCCGCGTGGCAGGGCCAAAACAAAACAAAACACAAAAAACAAAACAGACAAAAAAATAAAATAGAAAAGAGTTTCTTAAAATGGCCATATACTACACTTCTTATAATTCTTAATGAGATTTTGGGACCTAACCATACTAAAAAGATACCTGACCTTCTGAATAGGCTACAATTTTTACAAAGATTAATAATATAAAATGTGGTTATACCTTTTACACTCTTGCCTTTGGACGATGATCAAATTTGTTATTTAACATGGGTGACAGAAGCAGCAAGATTTCCTGATTTCTCACTACTCCAAATCTCATTTTTTAGAAGTTCTAATGAGTTAATATGAAATACACAAAAAATTCTAACATATAGTTTTTTTTTTCTCAAAATAAAACAGAATATACTGCTCTTAAAAGTCAACAAAAGTCAGGAACTCCCTGGCAGTCAAGTGGTTTGGATATGGCGCTAACTACTACCGGGGTTAGCCGAGGCCCGAGTTCCATCCCTGGTCAGGAAACTAAGATCCCGTGGTGTGACCAAAAAAAAAAAAGTACCATAAAAGTCAGGTACCCTAGCCCAGGCTGATCAAAAAATGCAGTGAAAAGACATTTATACCAGAGCTTTCTAAGCCATGTCATAATCACCAACAAACACTGACAGATTTTTTTCTACAAAGGCTTTTCCAATGAACTTTTAAATCATGAAATGTTATCCTGACTATAAAATATATGACCACTGTGGAAAAAATGAAAACAGCTTTTCTTAAAAAATAAAAGGAATATAATAATTATCTCTCTTTTAAAAAATTTACTTATTATTTATTTATTTATGGCCGCGTTGGGTCTTCGTTGCTGAGCGTGGGCTTTCTCTAGTTGCGGCGAGCGGGCTTCTCATTGCGGTGGCTTCTCTTGCTGCAGAGCACGGGCTCTAGGCACGCAGGCTTCGGTAGTTGTGGCTCACGGACTTAGCTGCTCTGTGGTATGTGGGATCTTCCCGGACCAGGGCTCGAACCCGTGTCCCCTGCATTGGCAGGTAGATTCTTAACCACTGTGCCACCGGGGGAGCCCCTATAATAATTATTTCTAATCCCACCAACCCGAGTTAGATACTGTGACATTTTGATGTACTATCTTACAATCCAATCTCTTTTTCATGCACAGACCTACGTTTTACCTAAATAAAATCATTTATTTTTCTTCATACTTCATATTATATATATTAATAGTTGAGACCTTTTCCTTAACATAAGTTCATAAGCACTTTCCTATGTCATTAACTTTTTCAAAGATCTATTTTAAATAGTTAAATAATATACATCATCAGGATGTACCAAAATTTATTTATCCCTCCTATTGCTAAACATATTCCCAGTTTTTCCAATCTTCTAAATAACAGTGAATTTACATTCTTTTTTTTTAAGTATTTGCTTATATCTGGTTATTTCTTTAGATTCCCAGAGACAGATTAGTAGTCGGATGGCAATTAAACATCTTCTTAAGGCTTTTGACACATACAGCCAAACTGACCACTGCCTTACTTTATTTCTAATATTTTATTTCAGATGCTTTCTGCCTGTACTCCTCAAATATTACCCATTTCTTGGGCACTTAGAGCCTTACACAATACCGACTGTGAGATGTAGTATGGAGTAGTGAAAAGGGCACTGGGGTAGGTGGAAGGAAACAGGTTTGATACCAGCTTAATCACTTACTAAATCTATGAACTAAAGTGACTGAGCTTCAATATCTCCATCTGAAAACAGGGCTAATGACTCCTGCTCTTTTCTTCCTAGAGCAGTTGTGAGGATGAAATGAAACAAAGTGAGTAAAAAAAAAAAAAAAATGTAAAATGACTTTAAAAAAGTTTTTTATCCCTAGACTGACATAGGGCAATATTATGCATACTATGGGCACTTCATGTTCTAAACAGGATAGTTATTGAAAACAGTTAACAACAGGAGACCAGACAACTAGCTATTCAGCTTCGGTAATTTCCTCCCTGGGAAATCTGACAAGTTATCCAACACATCTCAATAAAAAGTCACAGATCATACCACTGCTTTAAGCAAATAACAGTTTATCTAAAAGATGTTTGAAGCATTCCCAACAAATGAACGCTTTTCCAGTAGGTGCAAGCTATTATGTAGTGATTAATCACAGTCTTATGATATAGTTACAGCAAATCTGCTAGGGTATAACAAATAATTCCCTACAAAATTGGTGGCTACAAGAGATGTGGTAACACAAATCGACTTCTCAAGCCTAAGTAGCCAAATCCTGATTCTGAGCCTCCACCTTCTCATTGCAAAAGCCAAGCAAACTTAGCTTGATCTGAGATTCTCGACCCTAGTGGCACACAGAACCATGTCTGCTTCAAACCAATGATGCCCAGGCCCCACCTTCCTTCCGAAGCAAGTGGTTTATTTGGTCTGGGGTACAACCCTGGCGCACTGGTTTTTACTTGTTTTCTTTCAAAAGAACCCCTGGTGTGTTGTGAGAACCAGCAGGCTAAAAATGACTGCCACATTCCTTTTTATGTAAATATATGTGTGTGTGTATATATATTCATTTATTTAATACATATTATGTACAAGGCACTATACTAGGTGCATCGATGAACAGCTGATCATGAATCTCAAGGAATCTTCACTTTAGTGGAACGATATAAGCAAATGACCATAGTTCTACAAAGCCAGGGCTTGGCTATGAATGGGTAAAAAAGAAGGATGGGAGGCTCCCAATGAGAGAAACTCACACGAGCAAACTCACACAGTTAGCAAAGGACTGGATGAAATCAGAAGAACATAGATGCCAGAAGGCAGGATGGCCTTTGTGTCTCCTGGTCATCCATCAATACTAAGGCTGGAAAGGTAGACTGGGATCAGAATCTTCAATCCTAATTTAGGAAAACTGGTTAGTTGGTTTGTTTTTTGTAGACAAGGATAAGTAAGGACTTTGACAGTAGACTACTGAGTTCATACTATATTTGCTACTTGCCAGCTATGTGCCCTGGACAATTTATTTAAAATCTTTATGACTTGTTTGTAAAATGTAAATAATAAAAGCATCTGTATAGGTTGTTGTAAAAACTCAGTGAACTCATAAATGTCAAAAGCTTACAGTAGTGCCTAACAGAGCAAATTCTCAATGTAGACTGGCCAGTATTATTATTAGCAACTAGCAGACAATGGGAACCACTGCATACTTTTGAACAGAGGCCTAACATGATCAGAACCACACTTTAAACATTTTTTTGAGTCTATTTAAAAAACCATACTGAAACATGGTATGAGTATGCAGGAACATCTATAAAAAATATTTAAGGGAGACTGTATTAAGAGTAGAGTATATTCACATTCCCAATTTCTGTCTATGCCACTTGCTCCCAGCCTCCTTTGAGAGTTCTCATGAGGGACTTCCCTGGTGGCCCAGTGGTTAAGACTCTGAGCTTCCACTGCAGGGGGCCCGTCAACAGGAAGATCCCGCATGCCCTGCCTTGTGGCCAGAAAGTCCTCATGAAAGAAACGGTAATTGGTAGTATCAGTGCAGACTCCTTGTTTAGTAATGCCCCAAACATGAGAGAAACTAGTTATTCTGTGTAAGTTCTTGGAACAATCAATATTAAGTTTAGATGGCAGATTTTAACCCTTCCCATAGAAAACTTTTCAACATCTTAAGTACGGAGAACACAATTCATCATCCTGACTTAGTGACTCAAACTCCGTATCAACATCTGTACATGCCTCATATACAGATGTGATCGGCCTAAGTCAGCCCAAGTTGCAATCTTAAACTTGAAAAATTTCTCACTTTTCCTCTTTATTACGAAATTCAGAGTTGCGATATTCATGTATACCTGTCCTCAGAGCTCTCCTTACGGGTAGGAAGCAGAGCTGCAGTTAGTTTGTGGTGTCCTCCCCCTCCCTCTGCAGAGCCCTTTGGTTTTCTCATTCTTCCCAGATAGGTTCGCTCTCTGCCTCAGCAGGTCCCGGGTGCCCGGTCACCATTCACTCTGCACTCATATCTCCTTGCAACTTCTAGCATTTCTTCAGCACTCTGTCTTAGTAAGCTACCAACATCTCATCACAATCCTCTTTAAATGAACTTGGAAAAAAACATTTTAGTTTCAAAGCAACTAACAAAAGGGACCAAATAGGGCTTCCCTGGTGGTGCAGTGGTTGGGAGTCCGCCTGCCCATGCAGGGGACGCGGGTTCGTGCCCCGGTCTGGGAGGATCCCACATGCCGCGGAGCGGGTGGGCCCGTGAGCCATGGCCGCTGAGCCTGCGCGTCCGGAGCCTGTGCTCCACAACGGGAGAGGCCACAGCGGTGAGAGGCCCGCGTACCGCAAAAACAAAAACAAAAGGGACCAAATAAATATTTGTTGAACTTGAGTTCTATGTGTTTTCACCTCTCATTGCTCAAGACTATCAAAAGTCTGGTCTTGAGATAGTGGAAGTTTTCCTTCTGTAAACCTCCTGTACAGTAAACGGGAGCCTAGACTTCAAGTCAACAGACTTGAAGTTCACCTGCTAGCCAGGTAACCTGGGGCAGGTCGCTTAATCTCAAGGTGCCTCTACTTATCTCACAGGGCTATTGTGAGAATTAAATAAAATACATGAAACCAAAATTCAAGCCCATAGACAAACGTAAGCTTTTTGTCTCTCAGTTTTCTGTCAAACTATAGTATTGGGTTCTGAAACAAGGCCTCTGATACCGTAAAGGAACACCAGAAGAGTCCGTACTCAAAAATAACTCCCCACATACACCAATTTAGATATTCATTATGATAAACAAGCTCCTCTTTCAAATTTCTCCTGGTAGAGCTAACGCTATTGTTCATTCATGCTTTTGTATACCACTCTGGTATTACAGGATTGGACATATCTCATCTTGTGTTTAGTTAACTCTGTACACATCAACTCTTCACTAGATCTGTGAATTCTCAAAAAGGAAGAGTAAAATTCTCCAGCAGTTGTACTTTGAAATGTCATGTTCAATATTACAAATTTTTATTTTATTGAGTGGGGATGAGAAGGCCCTACTGCATTTGTTTTGCAAGCTTTCAGAAGTAAATATCCACAAAATCTTAGGAAGAGATGCCTAAAAATAGCCAAGTCTCACTGAATGAAAAAGAAGGAAATTAGGTTTTACTAAATGTCTATCTACTATGTGCCAAGCATTTCCACATACTTCATTTAATTTTGTATAAACTTCAAAACAGCTCTGAACAAAGTATTACTCTGGATGAGGAAGCACTTCCCTGGAGGTCCAGTGGTTAAGATTCTGCCCTCCCACTGCAGGGGGCACGGGTTTGATCCCTGGGTCAGGCAGGGAACTAAGATCCCGCATGCCGTGCAGCACAGCCAAGAAAAAGTATATATATAATAATAATATTCTGGATGAGAAAAACAGGGCTCTAATGACTGAATGGGACCATTTTCTCTTCAAAAAAAAAAAAAAAGAAACTGAGAAAAAGGACAAAAGGGATAGACCAACGTAAGTTAGACATCTAATTTCAACTACGTTCAAGTGCCAATTCTTCCCTGATTCCTTATCTTTCCATCCTCATTATGGACATCAAGGAAAGGATCTTCTACATGCCCTCCCTTAACCCTGAAGAACTTCTATATCAAGCTCAAACTGTTTGTGGGGAGAAGGTGAAGAGACAGTAATTTGCAATTACTTTATAACTCTAACATGAGGAATTGAAGTGGTATTTAAAATGCATTACATAATTCCAAGCTAAAATAAGCCTCCATAACAAACTATATTAAACATAACTTTCTACACCAAAAGCAGTTGAAGCCTTAATGTAGTTCTTTTAGCATATTTTCAATGAAACTTCAAACAAAAGATTTCAGAGAAATGTTTCTACAACTCTAGTTTGCCACAGTGCTGAGGTTAAAAAAAAAAAAAAAAAAAAATCCACACCCCAACAGTGGGTGGTATTCTTTCCATAAAATATATTACTGTAGAGCATCACTTACCATCTATATGACTCTGAACAGTTTAACTTCTATGCCTCAGTTTTCTTCTTTCTAAATGGGACCAGCGCCTGTCTACCCTTCATAGTTATTGGAAGTATATAAGACACTACATCACACACCCTTACCTGGTTCCAAAGCATTCTCCTACCAATCAGTCGCCCAGTGCCAAATACATCTATATAAGCTCTTATTAATTTTGTGCTGACTTGACACAAAATACTGAAATTGATGAAGATAACAGCAAACCCCTAACACACCACTACAAGCTATCCACAAACCTGTTAAAAAGAGTACTGTCAATTCACATAGTACTTAAGATGAGTCACTGTATGAAAAAACCTTTAAATCATATATGAAAGAATTCTTACATGAAAGAAATTTATTTTCCCAAACTTGATTGTAACCATAAAAAACTTCACATTACGTATAACAACTTGTGGAAGAAGCTTTTCTAAACTACTACCAATAACTTCTAAAAATTCAATCAACTATATTATAGAAGAAAATTATTTTTCTATTTTGTCTACAGAAAATGACAGTGTAAACTATGATATGAAATACCAAAGTAAATGCAGATCAAAATATGAAGGTATATGACTATTACTGATGGGTCAGGCATAAACAAGAATATACAAGAATATCATTGTTAATAAAGAATATCACTTTTCCTCAATTTTGTGATATACAAACGTATTTGTCAGCTTAAAAAATTTTGTTGTGATTTATTTTCTCATTCTAGATAAAAGTTCGCCTTCATACTCAAAAGATAATACATGTAAAATACCTGGCATTGTCTCATTAACATGGTACTAACTTATCATAATTTATGGCAAAAAAAGTACTAATATTTTCATTTCAAACAGAAATACAGCAGACCAGCTAGCAATTCTCCCTCAAGGGCCTTCAAGGCCTAGCAGTTTATTCATTCATAAAGCCCGTTAGCCTTCATCACGGAGCATTCGGATAGTGAGGAAAACTTCCAAAGAAATTAAAATACAGTGGAGGAGACAACTCTTAAAGCGACAGCACCATGTTTGAAGTCTGGGAAGCAAGCACTGTGAAACATGGGAAATCTTGGGAAATCCCGGGAGAGAGTAACTTTTAAAATAACATATGCAGTAGAAGCTTGAGAAGTGAACAAGGGGTAAGAGTTTTCCAGGCTGAAAAAGGTAATGGGGCTTATGAAATTAAATAAAATGGAAACTAGAAAGTGAAATCAAAATTTCATTCTATAAATAATATATTAGTCAAGTTAGAATAAACAAAAACTATTGTTTTAAAGTACTTTGCTATAAAGTGGCTAAACGGCTTCCTCAAAAGTATAAAGTAGCTCAAAAACTTAATGAGTGTATTTAATTCTTTTGAATATAATTCAAATTTCCTTAAAACTTTGTCAACAATTACCTGCTCAGCAAGAACTAAGTAGTTTAATCATGGAAACTCAACAGTTGACCCTAACACTCTCGTTAGCAAGCTAAAGCAGAAAATATCAAAAACAATAACAAAAAGGAACGACGGAAAGAACTAGAAGTACATCACAAATGTAGATCATTATCAATAGTTAAACAATAGAAAAGTATTTACAAATGTTAAAATTATTTTAATTCTCAAAAGGTAACTTTAATTTCAAGACCACTGCTGGGAATCACCTGTTATTGCTAGTTACAGGGAAATAAATCTAAAGCACTTAGTCTAAATTGTTGGTAGGACGCCAACACTTTGTAGTATATACACAACTCCCTTTTACCCTCCTCCCTTCTTAGCATCACTGGCTCCCAGAGCTAAAGAGTCTTTGAGTATCTCCCTGCAGCCACAGCTCCTTTTACAAAAGATTCTTGCTGAAAACTCCTAAAGAATGAACTCTAGATGCTGTAGAACGCACCGCGGAAAGTGAAATCCCCTAGACTGCGTGCAGCGTTAGAAGCAGCTACAAAAACCGGGCCCCGACTGTCGATTTCGCCTGGATTATTTGTTCTTGTTTTAATCTGCCTGGGGCAGCAGTATAGGTTGGAAGGCGGAGACTGGAATCGCCTGCCAAGCCTCGCTCTCGGTCACACAGAGGCAATGCCTCCCGGTTCACGCCAAGTC